AGATATCTATCCCAATGGTGGGATGTTAAGATCTGAATCACCATGCAGCTCAATCTGTGAAATTCCATCAGAAGGCAAGGTGTCCTTTACCAGTCCATTTCTGTTTCCGTTGCTGGCCCATCTCAGTAAATTATTGTTATTTTACCAGCCAGATATCCTGGGCACCTGATCACATTCCAGGAAACATTTTGGGAATTGTACCAGAATGAGCAAAGGTCTTGTCTAGTTTCTACAGTTCCCTGTTCAATGTTAAGTAACCTGTGCCTCTGACACTTACTGTGGATAGAGTTTAAAGACTTTGAAAATATTGCTTTATCATTACCTGCAGTTTGAAGCAAATTTTGCAAATGAGTTGAAACCAATATGGAAAAGAAACAAAAATAACTGCAGGAAAGCAGGTGAAACAGTTTTTTGTTTAAATTTTTCCTGGTGGGTCTCCCAAGGCTAAAATTTTCAGATTAGAAAAATATTTTTCGATTGGCACTTACAAATATGAAAGTAAAATACCAGTAAAGGTACAGTTAAAAAGGGTTTTATTGCATGCAAATTACAGTAGTCAGGGCAACATTACATAATTTTTTTCATTGAGGCCTCCAATGGTAAAATCTGTGTAGGTACCCATCCTTGGAATGGGTTCCAAAAGGGTGAAAGTCAAATGAGTTTCAGAAATACGACAAAATTCAAAGAGGGTCCCAATGGTAAAACACAATGTCAGTCCTCTAAGGCAGTATCTTAAGAGGTGTTGAATTACGTATTCATGTGATATACCACAATTACTCGATCTTTTCAAAAGGGAGGAAATTATGAATTTGACAAATTTTTTAAAGATTTCATTTCTTAAAAATAAGAACATTTCTACTGCCTGGTAGCAACAAAATACAAAAGCAGGGCATTCTATAGTTCCATCCTATGGACTAAAAAGCACCACAAGCTCCGTGCAGAAATATAATTTTGTGATTATAAAATTACATATCTAAAAGTTTGATCATTTTTGTCCATTGGAAAAATCGTGTATGTTATTACCATATTGTAGATTTCTACAAAGTTTATACAAAGAGGACTCCTAGGCTCACCTGTTTATGGCCTCAAGGATCTGGTACATGTACTGTTATGTAGATACATGTACTTTTATATGGGGACTAGCAGTATACATCACAATTACTTTACTCCCAGTGTACCCCACTGGGTTGCAGCCACTATAAGGTTATCTTTACACAGTGAATGGAGATATGGAGTATCATATAGGTGCACAGTATTTATTGATGGTATTCAGTAATAAACCAACAGGTGCTTATCCTCACTATCTGTAGTATAAAGCAATGGGGGGTTGTTTTCTAACCCTATCTGTATTATGTTGAATGTACATTGGAGATTTTGATTGAAGTTTCAATTTCAGAAAATGATAAGCTATTAAGAAGAACAAATCCCTCTTGGTTCGACTTGTGGAGCATTTTCACGCTTAAAATATTTGTTGGGATAATATAAAGATTGGCAGGTATGAAGACATTCTCTACTCATAGACCCCCCTGGAACAGCCAGGCCCTAGACACCCCAACCCAAACAATTTCATTTAGCCAATTCCTATCCTCTCTAACTTCCCTTTAGACCAAGCACATAAGCATGAGGGGTTTGAGTGATTCTCTACAACTTCCTTTTTGGCTGGTTAAAAAAAGTCCACTTTTCTGGAAAAAGCCCCCTACCCCACAGACCTGTAGACAAGCATGGCCACCAAAATGTACATGTCTGCAGGCTAGTTTTTATGTGTTATACATATAATGGAATGTTGGTGTGTAGATATTATGGTGATTTATTGCCCTTGAGATACTGGTCTATGGCATCCTGGACATGCTGGTGACTAGGGTTTATATGGCAGTTAAGACCAGTGCAGGATATTTAGTGGATGTTTGTACGTAGGTGTTTTCAACAAGTGCCTGCTTTATATAAACAAACCAGGTGTGTTAGCAGTAAGGGGGGGGGGATTCATTTGAAATCAATTTTGATTCAATACCATACAAACATGATGTTTTACAAAAAATAATGCCACTTCTTCAGAAAAAAGCACCCTCCCTTTGATATTGCTGTCTACTAGCCAGTAAAGAAACCAGTCAAAATGCAAGGCTTTACGGTGTGGCTTAAACGTAACATCTAAAACATGGCATTGCAGAATGTATGGGTCTGTAGAATGTTTTGGAAATTCCCTTTCAACAAGTACACTTCTGTTTGTAAAACATTGGGTTCCTCATCCCTCACACAAGCATTGAGAGTGCACTGGTGTGTCCTAGATATAAGAGAGGGAGGGGAAGGACTTCACTTTTGGCCCACACCATCTCCTTAGTTCTGGCTTTGGTATGTGCAATGAAAAGTCTTCAATAAGCTTTTTTGAAATTATAGTTCAAATTATATGGTCACTGGTGTCATATTTTGGTTAACATTTATGCTACCAATTCGATAGATATATTGAAAATTACCACTAACATTTGAAGAACCTAATTTCATACTGGAGGCAGTCATAACTTCTACGGGAACAATCATGCATTATGGGAGATATACTACTTGTGTTAACTATATGCAACCACTGGAAAATGTGTACAGTACTTTGGTGGTCTGCATGGACCTAAACTAACCCATGAGTAGCTCTGTCTGAACACACCAAATAGAACCAAGATTTGAGATGTCTGAAAGGTAGTTATATCTCTCTCTGTCTGAACACACCAAATAGTACCAAGATTTGAGATGTCTGAAAGGTAGTTATATCTCTCTCTGTCTGAACACACCAAATAGAACCAAGATTTGAGATGTCTGAAAGGTAGTTATATCTCTCTCTGTCTGAACACACCAAATAGTACCAAGATTTGAGATGTCTGAAAGGTAGTTATATCTCTCTCTGTCTGAACACACCAAATAGAACCAAGATTTGAGATGTCTGAAAGGTAGTTATATCTCTCTCTGTCTGAACACACCAAATAGTACCAAGATTTGAGATGTCTGAAAGGTAGTTATATCTCTCTCTGTCTGAACACACCAAATAGAACCAAGATTTGAGATGTCTGAAAGGTAGTTATATCTCTCTCTGTCTGAACACACCAAATAGTACCAAGATTTGAGATGTCTGAAAGGTAGTTATATCTCTCTCTGTCTGAACACACCAAATAGAACCAAGATTTGAGATGTCTGAAAGGTAGTTATATCTCTCTCTGTCTGAACACACCAAATAGTACCAAGATTTGAGATGTCTGAAAGGTAGTTATATCTCTCTCTGTCTGAACACACCAAATAGAACCAAGATTTGAGATGTCTGAAAGGTAGTTATATCTCTCTCTGTCTGAACACACCAAATAGTACCAAGATTTGAGATGTCTGAAAGGTAGTTATATCTCTCTCTGTCTGAACACACCAAATAGAACCAAGATTTGAGATGTCTGAAAGGTAGTTATATCTCTCTCTGTCTGAACACACCAAATAGTACCAAGATTTGAGATGTCTGAAAGGTAGTTATATCTCTCTCTGTCTGAACACACCAAATAGTACCAAGATTTGAGATGTCTGAAAGGTAGTTATATCTCTCTCTGTCTGAACACACCAAATAGTACCAAGATTTGAGATGTCTGAAAGGTAGTTATATCTCTCTCTGTCTGAACACACCAAATAGTACCAAGATTTGAGATGTCTGAAAGGTAGTTATATCTCTCTCTGTCTGAACACACCAAATAGTACCAAGATTTGAGATGTCTGAAAGGTAGTTATATCTCTCTCTGTCTGAACACACCAAATAGTACCAAGATTTGAGATGTCTGAAAGGTAGTTATATCTCTCTCCGTAAAGCCTACTAGAGGATGACCCCATTGAGGATATTGCCGGATGACCTCACTGGGATCCTGACAGTTGAAAAATTCAAGAAAACTTCCTAATCATTTGAATATACCTTTAGTTACTACATGTATAAGGTGGAACATTCATTTTGATAATTGCCTATTTATGAGGAGGCTTTCTTGCCAGGGCATTTTTGCTGGCAGGTAAATGCTATTTGATTGTTGGCTCAAGTCTGTTTTGGCTGGTTTCTCTACAGTGTGGGTGTTTGGGAAGATTAATGTTTTCTGGTACCAGGTAAAAACAGCATGACCTGACTAGGGAGCAGCTGAAGGCATACATCAACCAGGTTATTTTATTCTGAAAGCACTGTTAATTGTTTTTATGTTCATGTTACATGTTTCCAGGTTTTCATTGCCCCCCCCCCCCTCCTTTCTCAGCTATGGTCTTGGAAGACAGAAAGAGCATTGCAAGTGAAGCTGTGGCCTTTAGTGGTTCCTATTTGAAAATGTTGCAGTTGTAGCTTAGGTGCTCAGTTCAGCATAATTCTACAGCTATTTTCTAATAGCTGTACAAGTTCCAAACTTGGCAAATTACCCTATGTACATTTTTAGACCTCATTCTTCTTCCTCTTCTTCACACAACATAACACACTTGAAAGGTTAATGTGTTTTTACATGCTCAACCTGTGAAAAAATGTAAGTTTTGAACAGGAAAGTTATTTTCATCATCTGAACGATGTGGCATGCATTTGGAATAAAGACACATGCTCTCCACAAGGAAAATGAAAGGGGGGGGGGGGGCGGGATATACTAGCCATCAAAAAACAATTTGTATCATCCCATCAGTGATAAAACTTTTCACGATGGAAATGTTTGTCAGCCTTTGAAAGTGTGACTAGGTGAGCAAATTGTGTTTGGTGAGATTGTGCTGGATGTGACTGTGTTAGGTGAGATTGTGCTGGATGTGACTGTGTTAGGTGAGATTGTGCTGGATGTGACGGTGTTAGGTGAGATTGTGCTGGATGTGACTGTGTTAGGTGAGATTGTGAAGTGGTGGAGCAAGGCAGACAGCCAGTTGCTCTCTCCATTGTTATAGCAACACTGCAATTCTTGGCACTGATTTCAGAAACCCTTATTCAGAATGAACTACATGAATTTTTTTTTTATTATTATTATTATTTTTTTTTACAGCCACCTATTGTTCCGAAGCTGGCTCACAGTGGCGACACAACCAATTTTGATGACTACCCAGACGATGACTGGAAGAAGGCAAAGCCAGTAACTGCCGAAGAACTGGAAGCTTTTGTGGAATTTTAACATGGAGCCAAACTTAGGAGTTTTAATATTGGGTTTTTATTTTTTAAAGAAATTAAACAATGAAATTTGGAGTTTTATTGAAGATCATTTTTTTTTAATATTTGAAGTTGAGATTTTGGGTAATGAGAGTTAAAGTTGAGGGTTTGGGACCATTTTGAAGTTTTACAAGGAGTGATTTATTGAGATTCAAACCATTACCAGATTTATAATTTTAACATGTCTGTCCTTGTAATCTTGATATGGGCTATTCCTTGACTTTACCATTCATGAGATTTCAGGAAGTTAAAGGTAAAACCTTTTTTGTGTGGAAAGTTTACTAAAATCTGAAATGATGTATTGATATTTTTGAAACTTTATGATATATTGGAACCATTCAGGGAAATTAATACCAAGATGATGAATGAATTTGAAGAGAAGGAACTCAAACTGTGCACTGAGGTACCATGCAGTAATGTAACTTGCCTCATGCAAAAGATATGATATTATTTCTGACTTGAGACTTGTGAAAACCTTGGCCAACAGGGAATGTTTGGTGATCAGAAGTATATTCTGTAGAAAATGTTATCAATATTGCTATAGAATATATTAGCAATAGATTGGTGAAGTGTACTTCTTCAAAGTCTGTAAAGATTCCATGACAACATATCCAGGAAATATAGAAGAGGATGCAGTCAGTTGACAACTGCAGCGCCATCTTCAGTGTAAATGGACTGGAAAGTGCCATATTATAAAGTTTACTGGTTGATATATCCTCACTGTGAATGTTATATTAATTCGAGGCACTAAAAGATAAAAGCAGGTTGGGATGTACTATACATGTTATTAGAAAGTGTAATCTGAAAAAATATTTCTTGATATTATAATAGCTTACCACCAGGGCCATAGACTGCCAGGGGTGGGGCTGTGTTGCCCCCGTAACCACCCCTCCCCCCAATCTTCAACTTTTTTCAGAAACGTAGAACACTGCGTCATTGGGACTGCATTTAACAAAGGATGTCTACATTGCCCATTCTTCATTGTGATTTAGTGCATTTACAGACCCAGTAATGTAATCAGTTCACTACAGAAAAAGCAAGTGGCCCAATTGGATATTTTTAATTCTTGCAATCATAGCCATGACATATTCAGACTGAAGGCAATGATGTTTTACAGGAGGGTTGAGGTGTTATTTAGATTGATATAAAAAACATAGTATGGTTTTTAAGTACTGTATATTAGTGACTTTGTGGTTGGTACAAGTTCTGTTTTACTTCGATGTTTTATATATAATTTTATAAGGAAACTGGAGGTCACAGACTGTATATCTTATAGATGTTTTATCCGTTGTTATTTTGAGCACGTGAATGACGTTTTGTTATTAAGAGCACTTAAGTATACATGTATGTATGTATATATATATATCATTTTGTAGGTTAAGTATCATGATATCTGGTATTATGATTGTTATGATACCGCAGAAAATTTAAGAACGATGCTGGGTGTATGGATGCGTCTGAAATCAATGGCAAGTTTTATTCTTGGTTTTCCTCAGGTTTCTCTTGGACCCCTAGTGACATCTGTTGTGAAAATATATACACTGAATATCTGAATATTGTTTATTGTATATTTATAAGATTTTCTGTTAAGTTCTTTTTAAATTTGTTTAAGTTGTGATGGAGATGTGTATAGATGTAGATATGATGTGAAATATGTAATTTATGCTTCAGAATTTATAAAACCAACTGCCATATCTATGATGTGATAGAGACAGTGCCACAATACATTTTAAGTGCCTTAGAGACAATATGTTATTGCACTGACCTTGTCTCCCACAAACGAGCTCACAAAACTAAACAAAAGACAAACCAATGCGTATCACTATAGATTTAAGGTCAGCACTTTGAAGCTTCCTCAAGTGCATTGAAGGTCACTGGATTGTGTTTTAACTTGAAAATGATGACCTTTCTAAAAGGTCTTTCTGAAGGTCACATAATAATGTAGATAATATGATCTTATTGACCTTAGTTAAGGAAACTTCGTATTTTTACCTTCCAGACCAGTTGGGTATATGTGTCAATGGTATTAATTACGGTGGTCACTTTTAAAGGTTGCATAATCTTGATCATGATGGTCAATAAAAAACATGAACAAGTTAAAAGATTTCTCATGCAGGGTGGAGTATGGGACATTTTCAACAGCTCCAAAATTAAAATATTTTCGATATTACACAAATGAGATTATGTCACTTTTGATACAAGTTAACGTACCGGTATGTGTCTAGTATAACAGTGCCTAGATTCTACAACAGGGTCTACAAGTAAGTACAGTGTAGGGTTACCGACAGTCCAGTGTATGTCTTGTGTTAAAGATATATGCATTGTAGAAGTCAAATGTACATCGAATTAGCTGTGAATAACATGTTGAGATATGTATATTATTTATTTATTTCATTTTCACCATGATATCGACACCTATATTTAATTTGCTTTTTCACCGTTGACTGACCCTTAACGTTATGATACTGTATTAGTAATTCATTAAAGAGTATATGGTGTTCCGTTGTTTAAAAAACGGGTCTCGAATGAATATTGCGTCACTGGAAATCGAGAACACGTTAACCAAGACGTCCATGTTTTATCCAGCGCACACTCAGAGCAATGTGCTGAGTTACTGGATTGTTAAAGATCCCGAGCCACTGGCAGTCTAGTTCTATGGCGTTGCTCTTAATGTCTCACTGTCAGGTAGTGTCTTAAGGCAACCATTTTACACCTAACGATCCGGTAGTTCCGCCTGTAGCTTGCAATGTGCGCGAGCCAATGTCCAGTTTTAATTATACGCACTTGATGAGAACAAATTCTGTGCAACAATGAAGCTGTAAGAAAATAAAATTTTATCTGAAACAGTGCCTGTTGTTGTTGTCTTTAATTTGTTGAAAAAAAAAGACAATTATACAATTGTCATATCACATTTTAAGGTGCACCCATAAATAAATAGTAAATGGCATGTCAAAGAAATTTTGGGATAAGCTTTCCTGAAATGTAAGTTGACAATGTTCTCTAGGAATGATCGAACCCACCGGCTTCATCTTAAATCTATTTAATATCGTTAGCTTTTACTCCAGCGCTATGGGCTCAATTCTCCAAATCCGTAATTTTCTAACAAAAAGTGAAAATGCAATGCAAAGAGAACATGTACCCATCGCCCTCATCTGCGGGATATATGAAAAAAGTATATTTATTATAGGTTTTTGGCCAAAATGCTGCATTTGGCTAATTTAAAAAAGAGTCACGGGGATTCATCCATCCATTGCCGGGTCACGTACTGATATACTGCCGACAGTAATTTGTCGGATGGTAATGCCAGCTGGAGTGAAACCAGGACTGGTTTAAGTTTGCCTGGACAGGCCAGAATGTAGTCCTGTTTAAAACCCCCGGGAGCATTACGGCTGTGCTGTTGTGTTAGCTGAGATGGTCGAATTCAGTAGGTCGGTGTTAGGAGCTACTGCAGCGCCTCCCGTGTACAGAAGACCTGAAGAGGAAAGATATTAATTGACGAATTTATCATCTCTCTCTCTCTCTCTCTCTCTCTCTCTCTCTGTTCTGTGTGTGTGTGTGTGTGTGTGTGTGTACTGTGTACTGGGTGTACATAGGCGGAGAGAAATCTGTTACAATTCTATTTCATGTATTGATCAAAACATATGTATGATTAATATTACAAGGGTATGTACCTGTATGACTATACCGCTTCGTTCTTGTTCATTCCCTGAAAGCATAAACACAAGTACACGCTACTCACATGCTCGCGCACACACACACATGCACTCACAAAAACACAAACGCACGCACACACGCGTGCGCGCACACACACACACACACACCATACCTGCCATGCTAGCCGTCATCATACAGGCTATATTGCCATACACCATGGCTCGCACGGCCACGTCCACAATGTTCTCTTTCTTCCTCGGCTCAATGGTGATGAGAGAGCTCATATAGATGCCTATGGACGGAATGCTACCAAAGCCAGCCAGCGCGTACGTGCATACCACGCGAGTGCGCTCCTGAGTTGATAGAAAAACTTGCTTAAATTGGGAAATATATATTTATTATGTATTCACCCATTGTTATCTACAATTAAATTCTTTAATTGTTTTGGATATATCTTTTAACAATAAGGCGCACTGGATGAATTTTGCTCACACAAGGTATTGTACGAGTATTTGAATGATGTCTTCTTTTTGATATATATTTTCCCAGACGAAAAAAATATTGCTATGTGAAACTACGTGTTTATCAACATCGAAGGTTGTTTCCAGCTAACGTACAGTAAAATGATGAAGCGGGATGGCCAGTGTCTTAATGCTGTTATACTTACTGTTATCAGACCATTATCTATATAAGGCTTTAACTGACTAAATGCAAGGAATTCCGAGAAGAAAATTTTGACGCCAAGAAGCTTTCCAACGATGAGTGCGTCTTGCCAGTCAGTACCTATCACGACAGCTAGCGGCGAAAATACGTATGAGCAAATTAACTGGAAAGGGATAAAGACATTTGTATCACATCTACATTAAATCATTAATATCTTTTAATAACCCCATGTCTAAGTGTACCCTATATGAAACTATGCCCGCTTCAGTTTGATATGTTAATAATAAACTTTTCAAAAAAAAAACTTTTCGGTTTTTTTAAAAAAAGAGTACAATCGATCTGGACAGGATTGAATTGAATATTCACCAACTTCAACCAGCTTACCTGAAAGTTCACATCCGGGACATCCACTAGATCTCCTAGGTAACCGAGGATGGTATCCATGGCTTCCACCAATGACAGGAAGGTTATCAATCCCGCAGCCACCACTGCCGTCAACTTGATGGCGGCCAGCATACCGTTACACACTGCCTCCACCAGTGATCTCTCAGGCCTTATGACAAGAGATTGACAAAGAAAGTGTCTGTATTTTTAGGTTTCCTGTCCGGAATTTTAATCAAAAAATCAAAAACTCCACCCCACCCCCTTCAGGAAAATATGCAATTTAATTTGGGAATCTTCACATTTGAAATAGGCCTATGGATATGCTTTTCTTGTTCAAGCAGAGAGAGAGAGAGAGAGAGAGAGAGAAAGAGAAAGAGAGTTAAATATTCTACGTCTCAAACCCAAACCGATGTCTCATGAGCCAAGATCCCATGGCATATCATATAACATACGGTGGCGCCATCTGCACGTCCTCCTCCGTCTTGGTGTGCGAAGTCTCTGTCTCTGGGAAGCCCAACTTTGCTATCGCCATGGCTGCCGGCGCTGACATGATACTGGCTGATATGAGGTGCTCTGGGGACGCCTACAGGTGAGCGAATAGAGACATTAACACGGAGATAAATACACAATTATGAAAACAATTCTTGAAAAGGTTTCAATTTTCGTATTTTTTTGTATAGATTTATACAGGCGATACCTGTATTGCTTGATTTATAACTGTTTTATACAGTTTGTAACTTTATAACTGTTTTATAAATAAATATACCTCTCTACCCACTAAAACTATTTGAAAAAGCGATTATCTGTTAATTATGTGATGCAGATATATGGAGTCAAATAGAACGGGGTATAATGAATATTTTGAAAGTTTACCCCAAACGCTATGAAGGCTGCAATCACGGTACCGGCAATGGTAGTGAACCCACCGGTCATACACGCACAGAGCTCGGACTGTGTCAGCCTCTGCCAGAATGGTCGGAACATCACTCCCGTCTCCACCTGGTGGGCAAGACAAACACCGCGGTTATCTATTGATTAAATCATCTATATATAATGACATTTCAAAAACGTCAAAAGCAAAAGATCAGAGTGAGTACACATGTAGTGCCCCGTAACGTTGCCAAAACGGAAGTGGCAATTTTTATCACAGGTTCTATACTTATAAATGAGATTTGTTCAAGTGTAAATCTTAAGTAATTTGAAAGTATTTTTTAAGTCTTTAAAATAATACTTGATCTTTATTTTAGAATTTGCCAGAAAATATGCAAAACTTAGAGTAGGTCGCATTTTGAACACTTACGATATCAGTACGATCTTTAACCCACCTGACCAAGAAAGATACTAGCAGCAGTGTGCAGCGCCTCTATCGGTGTAATCTTCATGGTGACCTGCATCAACCACGCCATCTTGCGGACCATCCACTGGATGGCTCCATAGTAATACAAAACATTTATAACGGCACTGTAGAATATAATGATGGGCAAAATCTGGAAGATGAGAGAGGAACTACATGTAGTTTTCAACTTTGGAGGCAATCATAAAGCAACTATGTTATCAATCGTGACAACTGCTGATTAATAAAACATTTAAATAACTATAAAAATAGTCAACTTTTTTCACTTGCGTTAGCATGAATGGTTTCTGATAAATGTTTCCTACTCCCTTTACGCACACAGTGGTCACAATTTTTTTGGTTTGAATATACGTTTATTTTTCAAGTGTCAAGATGCATCAAAGTAAATGAAAGATGAAAACGAGCATTTTTATCTATATACATTGACGCGACCATACCGCATATCGTCAAATATTTGCCTTGGCATTATGTACACTACGTCGATAAACTCGGTTATATCTATGAGCAAAAGATATCCTCATAAGAAAACACAAGGCATTTTCTTTTTACGTCTGCTAAATTTCTCAATGTGTTTCCTGCCATTGGAAACTGAAAATAAAATACGCAGAAACTTGAAAAGTGACTACAAAGGAACGTATGGTACGTAGTTTATAAACATACGCGGGGGGGGGGGGGTCCTCGAAAAAGTGCTTTTTTATGTTTATCGTATCTATTTTAAGGCACACAGTGACCGTGAGACCTTAACAGAAGTGTAGCAAAATTGCATTTCCCTGAAAACTTTACTATCTTTGTCTTATTAGCCTAGGTATACTGTCTCCAGTTAAGGAATCCTAAGTTTTAGGTCTTTGCCAGTGGTGGTTTTAGGGGAGTGTCAGGGGGTTTCTGACCCTCCCCCCCCCCGCCCCCCCTTCGATTCGTTCGCCTTCTAATATACCAATTTTTTCGGGGCCCTTCAGCGGGCCACAAACCCCACGCCAAGGGGTTCGGTTTCACCTTAACGTAACCCCCTTTCAAATAATCCTGGATCCGCCCCTGAAAACACTCGAAAATGAAGATGGGAAATGCCCTTTCCAATTGTAACAGTAATAAGAAAAAACTCAAAATTCGAAAACCGGTCACTTTTTTTCAGTTGTTTTTATTAGGAGACACCTAACTCCATCTTTTTCTCCGTTCTTCCTCTCTCTTCTATACAGGCATCTGATGGGCATGATTCTTTTTTAACAAGCTCACCTGGAACGCCACGGGGTGCATCTTGTATCCGGGATCACCGAACACCATCTTGGAGCCAGCGTCCACGAAACCTGCGAACGTCTGGACCTGAGCCCCGAGGAACTGAAACAGCGCAAACCCCGCGCTCCATCTCAGCACCATCAGCCCCATCAGAAACTGGAACGCTAGGCCCCATAGCACGGGACGCCAGCGAATCTGAAATGTTGAAGTAATAATAATAATAATAATAATAATAATAACAATAATAATAATAATAATAATTATTATTATTATTATTATTATTATTATTATTATTATTATTATTATTATGTTGTCTCCTCGTCAATTTATGAAAAGATATCTAAGAGATAAAAAAATCTTGATCACATGATCTTGTAACGTGACCATATCCCACAATGCCATGAAGGTCTCAGTTGAAAAACTTTTACTTGAGTGGTGAGTCCAAATGAAACGTGTTTGGCAACTTTGTTAAAGAGGTTTAAAGTCTATTTTCATAGCCTTATAACAGTATAAAGGATGCCTACAGGGCATCAAACTTCAGTGTTTAGAATTTTGCAGAAATGTCTCAACTAAGTTCTTTCTAGCATCAAAAAATGGCTGTAATCCTTTAAAATAAAAAAATAGCACAGGGGGTAAGTTTGACCACTTGGCTTGCAACACTTTATTCTGTAACATGTATGATCTTTCAACACTAATTCAAAATATTGAAAGAATTGAATAGAAATATTGATATATCTGTCTACCACGTGAACTACAGTTGTACATGTATTTATGCGCAATTGACTTAACAAAGCCAAAATTGTCTGAGCCAACTAGACCAGTGTTCCCTATAAATAATGAACTGTTTCTCTCGAAATAATCGAAATACTTTGTATTTTCGATACTTTTACACCTGAGAACAATATTAGTTCATTCAAATCCACAGACAGCTGTGATAAATTTTGATATTGATAGAAACATAAATGTGTCATCCCCTATTTCGAATCATGCTGCAATATTGATATAACTAGGTCAAATATCAGGGCTTTATGTTTGGTAGGGGGTGTTTTGTAATAGGTACCGGTACATGTATACATCAATCCGTTGAACGTTGACTGACAAAAAAGCAAGCCGCTCCTGATGGACTGGTTGAAAGGAGAAGGCTTAGCTTCTAATTAAAAATCGATTGTGCCTGTCCCACGCACCCCCCACTTCCACCCCACCCCCACATCCACCCCACCCCCAGCACACGGCCCTGAATATAATAAACAATGTTAATAAACTATAATCAATCTCTTTGTCACTGGATCCTTTCATAAGAAAATGGACAGATATCGCGTTCCAGCGTTGGCATTATTCTCTTGGCAAATAACTCAGACGATCGAATAGGTCGAAATAATAAACTAGAGGCAAAGAGGACAAGAGTATGACCTTACTGACAGACTGCACTGTGAAATATATGCCTTCGTACAAAAGAGGAATGAAAATAAGCCATTTCACTTCATGTCAGTGACTGCCTACTTTATTGGTTTAGGATTTCTCTAGACTTACTCGACTGGTCAAGGAACCGGTTTTATGAAAACCGTCAATTCACCAGTGCGCGACCTCTTGTTGCGGGGCTCTTCTGCCAAATTTCCATTTAAAATACACAGGTGGATTCCCTAACACACGTCAACGAATGACGCTGCAGCAGCAATGGATAATTAAGCTTGGCTTCGTACGAAATCAATACGCTCACAGTCGCGACCATGGGTGTTAAGTATAAAATATTTGTCAGTGATACATTTAAACAAAGTCTAAAAAAAAAAAAAAGCAATGTTAAACAAACCGAGGGTCCGTGTAACATAGTCCGCCTTTTATCAGATTCGTACAGGTAAGGGTGTAAGTGATGTAAGTGGGTCAAAATCTAGAACGGGACATACTAATACCCCTACATTTTAGTGAAAACTACATAGTACTCAATTCAGGATGATGGTATAAATATGTTAAAAGAGTAGTTTGTCAAGTGGATTTTCAGCCTCTGCTTCTCGTTCAAGATCAGTTGATCATCTTAAACTTAAATTTTGTTTCCACTGAAAGACGCCAGGAAATGTGTTTTAAAAAAATTCACTAAGTGACCTGTTAAAACATTAACGCACGTTCATGGTTAAAAAGTGATCAGTTTTCAATGTCACCATGATTACCTAAAGTATAGTTTCTTAAATCCAAAATGATATAGCTCTCGAATCGTCAGCACTAACTTATGAAATGATACGAAACGTTACCCATGTATTACAGTCTGTTAGGATATCAAACGTTACCTTTGCGGGATACTTTGACGTCACAAACGTCAAAAGTAATAGGAGCGTCAGACCCCCAGCAGACCGGAAGTTCTGAGGATTCCGTCCCGTGTCCAAAACCAAGAACACGGTTAATCCCGCCAGCAGAAGTGCATAAAAGGTCCTGTGAATAAAACAAAGATTTTTCTTCGTTTGTGTTATACACTCAGAATTGCTATAAATCAATCGATATGTACTGAGACAGTGACACTTATTACATATTGGAGTTTAATTCAGGCTTTTAACAGTTGCCGGAAGAATTTATTGTAGTAAATACTGTTAATAGGTAAAAAAAAAAACGTTTTGATATCAGTATATAAATAACGTTTGCATTTCACTTTTCAAATACTGTTCATTTATTTCCATATCAGAGGGCCCTACAGTGTAAAACAGCCAAAATAATGAGACAAGTATTTTCTGACAACTTGAATATTGGCGATTTTACTATTACGGTACCTTCAGTTCACCTTCAACCAAGAAGGTATTTCATAATGTTCTCTGCTATTTGCACCTCTACTTACCAGTGCGTGTATTTCCACATCCTCTTACCACACTTGACTCCAGCCAGCAGTCGACATATGACGTCATATATGACGTCACCGTAGCGCCGCTGCAAGTACTCATAGCTGACGAAGAAGAACACTATGGCAGTGATAATTATGACCACCAGGGCCCGCTGGCCGTTCAGATAGGCAGCGTAAACTAAATACGCCACCCACAGGGCCACAAACACGCAGCGGACGGTCAGTGAAATTGTCCTTTTGTGACGCGAGTAAAACGCCTTAACAGACTGGGAAACTTTGTCGATTCCCCGTGCTACACAATTCGGTGTTTTGTCCGTCACATTTTCTTCGTTCTCGGGCTCGGCAGTGGGTTTCTCTGTACCGTTCGGTTGGCACTTTGACAACAGTGACTGTCGCGTGCGCTTGTCTTCTACATAGACGTCTGTCACAGCTTTCTCAGTGTCACAGTCCACGTGATTCATCTGCGTTCCGTCAGGGACGCGCTCCGACCTGATTTCTTTCAGTTCCATATGTCTCCGACTTTGACTGGACTCCTGTGGACAATACATACAACACGCATTCATACACTACAACACGTCACATACGGGTAGGGCGAGTGCGTGAAGTATAAGCTAACTTGACACAGAAGATGTAATGTTGATTTGATCTCAATGAACTTTGGCCCTCTGAGTAAATAATGCGGTACGTGAGGGGGAACAGCGAGGATTACATCAACAGGCTGGGAGCTGAGTGATAACAGGAAAGCCAAATGGCTTAATTAAGTGTACCGCTCGATAAGAAACAATTGCTAAGAAGTTTAGTACGTAGTTAGTAGATTTTAGAGCTATTAAGGTTAACCGGTTATTGAAAATATCATGACATAGATAATGGATACTAGTGATTGTATTACATAAGTATGTCCCCCCTTTTTCCTTAAGATTGTTAAATGGTTGATCGCGGGTTAGTCTAAAATTTAATGTGAAACCACGCTGCTACATACCTCCAGATGTGAAGCTCTGCGGCAACATCTAGTGAGAAAAGACTTTGTTCTTTATAACCGGTTAGGGCTCCTTGTCCGTCACCTTGCGAAGATAGGTATTTATATATATACAGGTATTATATGCCATTAACGGCATATAAATGAGCAGTGCCCAACAGCATGTTATTGTTGGTAGAAACACTTAAAAACGTGCCTTAACCTGATCCAGGACATCGCTCATGCATCAATGTGAATAATGAAAATGTTATTTTCTTAAAACTCATGTGCCATAAAATGTTTCCTCATGCAAAACGTAATACTGTGGTGGAATATTCATGGTGCAATACGTCCAGCCTCCATGTATAATCGAGCCTAAATCCCATTTATATTTGTTTTTTAAGCAACTGCCCTGCGACAATTTGTCTCATTTAACGTTCACGTACGTTTCTCAGTCTATTCTAGAACATTTGGTGAATTTTTTTTTACAGTTCTTATGTTGTTCGGTAATGAACGTGGTTCGAGAACTGTTTTTGGGAAGTCCTTCAGAATGTCCTAGAACGGATTATAAGAACATTTTTCATTAAAAGTGAAAAACCTTATGTTCTAGGACAGATTGAGAACCGTAAGTTAGCGTTAAATGAGACCAATTTTCGCAGGGGTGTTGAAACTGGATGTTAAATAAACATTTCAAAATACAAAAGGTATTGAGCAACTAAGTCGTCGTTGATAAAATCTCTCTCCAAATATACCGCCTCTGTAAATCTTAACAATAAACACTCTGCACAAGGGTGTTAACATTTCTTTAGTCGTGTTATTGGTCAGCAAGCAGCCCCAACGGCGTTATTTTTATTTTCACAATGTATTATCTAACAATAGAAGATATTATATATTTATGAATGCAAATTACAGACATACGTATATAACAGAAGAATGGAAATACCAGAAGTATTTTCTAACAACATATGTTAACACTTGTTGCCTATACATGTACACGCAGTATTTCTTACATTGTCGTATTCATTGTACACTCTATCAGTTACCAACAGAGAAGGTGACGTGGTATTTGTGTGAAAATCCTCGCCGGACATGAGCGCAAAGGATGACAAATACCAACTGGATGCGACCCTTGTGTAGGGTAATGATTTTAGTGTACATTTAACGTATTTGTAAGGCACTATTGAATAGGTCTGTGCCTTCACCCCCCCCCCCCCCTACGTCATAGACAAGCGTCCCCTGCCAAAGCAGTCAGGGCTCGAAAGGTTCGCTATGTTGCGCACGTGTCTCGACTCCATAACCGATTCTATTTCGAGATACGGGGCCATGGAATCGAGACACTTGCGCACGTGCGCAACATAGCGAACCTTTCGAGATAAGGAGCCCAGGACAGTAAAAGTCCTGTCACACTTAGCGTAAAGAGGTACGGATGAGTATCACACAACTCTGGTGTGGCAGTGACTTTAGAGCGTTAATGTGTTACACTGACTGCATTCAGCGAGAGTCCCCGCGGAGTTGGAGATCGACCTACGTAGTCCGATAGTTTCATTGGAATGTGCCCTTACACGTCTCCCTCAATACCGATGCCCTTCTTTCAGGCGGCTCTTTGTATGTTCTATTTTATACGAGTATTTGTATAAATGGCCCGGAACGTGTGCGCATTTTATAGTATGGAAATTCTCCTGTATTGACAGGTCATAGCCTCGGTAAACATCGGACTAGGCTCTATAGGGGTCATTTTATGTTCAGAAAGGACCACATCAGTCTCTTTGCTGTTGGAAAGATAAGAGATTGGACATTATTGCCTGATTTATAACTTTGAGACTTTAATTATTACTTGTATGAAATAACGAACGCCTGGCGCATATTAAATGGATTGACACTTTATGTACTGTAAAGGGATATGATCAAAATTTTGTTTAGGGGTGATGTAAAGACCTGAAACACGCTAGTAGGCCAGGGACTGGGGCCCTATTTACATCCAGGATACCGAGTTGCCAATGTCGCCAATATACCGGTACAGACTGTATAGCTAGAGCTTACCGCTTAGTTGTCTATGACATAGTCCTATTGAGCACAGGCGGCTAAATTGATGGATTGACAAATATTGCTTTGATCGGAGAGGGTGAGGAGCTCTATCTCCGACATAAAGAAGTTTACCAGGGTTTACCCGTGCTTGCTGGGTCTAAAGAAAGAGTGCAAAAAAAAGTTATTCCTCTGTGGTCGTTGGGATTTTTGCTGAACGAGATCGAAGGATCTCTATGTTGAATCCTATCAAATAGAATAGCAGGCACGTGGGATGCTTATATCACATAATGGATATCACCGGATTGTTACACTAATAATATAACTGGAGTAAGCAGGGGTGACGGCCGCAAAGGAGACAAAGTGTTGGGCGTCGAGAGCGTACCGAGTGTCTGCAAGGAGGGAATGGAGAGGACCTGGGGCTGCGGGCGGGGGCGACTGGTGGTCCTCTTTTACCTGTTCGCCCTCGGTGCCTGGTTAGCGATGATGTTCCTGCAGTTAGTTCTGCTGGATGTTCAGCTGACGCGGGGCTCGTGTGGGCAAACGGGGCGTGGGGTACTCGATCACCTGTGGGGACGCCAGGAAGAAACCCAAGACGTTAATTTAGTAAGTTAATCATGCTTAAGTTATGGAAATGAGAGAGAGAGAGAGAGAGAGAGAGAGAGAGAGAGAGAGAATGTTTTAGAGTACCTGTGTGTGTGTGTGTGTGGGGGGGGAGGGGGGACAGCAGATTAATACAATTCGTATGGAAGGGTTTTGATGCCATGGTTTTTCATAAAGCAGACACGCGCTTACATAAATATATATAAAGTTAACTCCCCTTTATTTTGTCTGAAAAAGCACTATACAACTAAGCTCCGTTTAAGCCGTGTTTATAGACGTATTACATCACACGAAGTAGGTCATTCATCGATCAGTTGTCTATAACCTCCGAATGAAAGGTAGCACCCATGTTGTTTGACGGGTCCTAGAAGACAGCTATTGAATAGCATGCTTGTTTAGTGGGCGGTTGCACAAACCAACTTTCAGCCGAAACTTTTTCTAAACTTTACTCCCCCCCCCCCAATATAAAAATAAATAAAATAGATAAGTAAATAATGGTCCGTTACCTCAGTTCAAGAAAAGAACGGCTTATTTGACTTTGATAAAGAGAGTGTTGTTCAATTATATGATTGATTCGAACTAAAGGTTGATTTATTTTCGACCAAAGTAGACTAAGGGTGCATTCCCAGAGATTTGGATCGATCCAGAGATTAAGATTTAGATCGACCTAACTCCCCGGGGGTTCACGCTAAATTGCAGTCAGCCGAGCGCGCACCATAGTTAATTACCCCCTTACAGCTTTTAGTAGGCGGGGCAGACGCTTAAGCCGGCTAAGCTGACAGTAATCTAGCGAGACTCCCCACAGGGATAGATCGATCTAAAATCTATGGGAATGGGGTCTAAAATTTTAGTCTAAAAATTTTGGCCAATTCTTGAACCAATTAAAGCTCTTCCATGAAAAGTAATCGTGCGGTAATAGTCGTCTGAATATATGTATGGACTGGAAAGTACAAGTTCACATATTTCATAACTTTTGTCTTTTTTTTCTGATTCAATCTGTCTTCATTTTAGTCGTAGTAGTGGTAGCAATTTTTTTTTGTTGTTTTTAAAAGTAGTCTTAGCTACAGTAGTAGTAGTAGTAGCAGCAGCAGGAGTAGTAGACTAACTATAAGTACAGAAATTCAATTTACTAAGGGTAAAACACCAAGGCTCTCAAATTTAGATCAACCTACTTCAAGATAAGTTTGCCAAGGTAATGTACGCCTAATTCTCCCCCATCTACCACTAGCTTGTATCAAGTGCCAGGGAATTCTGTCATGTCGAACACAGGTGAAAAACCCACTTTATTACCGAGTCTTTAGAAATGCATAATACCAACAGCGATGTTCAGTGTTTAGTTACTTTGACGGGGTTTTACAAAGGCTTAGGCATAACCTGGATGTCTCACTAACACTTCCTGGTTTTAACATCCCAGCATATGGTCCTTGGATCTTGAATAGTTTCTAGATACGTAGCTCGCGCTAGTTTCTAATGCTTTAAAACAATGAAGTAAGGCGTACGGTTAAGTTAATTAAGAAAGATTGGAGACACCCTCCGCCCTCTCCACGGCTTCCTCTACTCAAACACTATACCACTTTACTTTTGGCCTATTCTTTTCAGTCGCAGATTATATTACCTTGTCTGTTGTTACATATTTCGACTTAATGCGGTAAAGTGCGTTATAACTGAAGTCACAAGGGCCGTCCCATTTTAACTTAAAAGAAAGGAAAATAAAACAGCAAGGCTATAATGAAGCACTTGCCGTACACCGTTTCTGAATTTAAAGTCACCCAGTTATTTTTTATATTAGAATTTAAAACGTTGATTATAACAACATAATTAAGAACAGCCTCACTAGAAGGGTCTCTATAATTATTCCTTATACATATGCATGTGCAAGCCTGGGACCCATCAAACTAAAACTAAGTACATTTGAAGTCACCATTAAAAACCGTAAGCTGTTTACAGTTGTCATTCTCGTCAAACAAAGAAGTGTGTCGCCATGTCTGACTTCCTTAGCGCGTGTTTGGCAGCTAAAAGATATCAAGAACAAGGCGGTTACCCCCACCCCCATCCCCACTCTCACCCCAATCCCCCACCATACCAAGATATTCTCCTCCACACATGGATGCATTAGGTTACAGCTAATTATAACTAAAATATAATCCGCATTGTTGACAGAATAACACTACGAGTGACCTGGTTAATGTATACCGCGTTCTGTTGACAAGAACAGGTTTGTTTAGACTGTTAGTTTTAGGTGGCATCCAGGTGTGAGAGGGAACACAAAGGCGGGGGAAAGACGAGATCAGGCACTTATAGTTTTTTTGGTTATTTACAACTCTATTCACCAGCAATGACTTCAAGTGACGTGAGAAAAAAGAAAGGCGTGCGCATGTGTGTGTGTGTCTTTAAGATCCAGAGAGCGAGCGAGCGAGCGAGCGAGAGAGAGAGAGAGAGAGAGATCAAACTTAATGCTAATACCAACACAGATAGAAAATAAAATATAATTAAATCATGAAAGATTGACGTCAATTGTGGAGCATGCATAAGGTACAGAAGCTGTTAACAAAGTACTGGACGTCCGCAAAATTGAACCTCGGGGGTCTGAAATATAAGATCTGTTATATCTAATGACCGTCCCATTGATATTACTTCCCCGTTTAAACTGACATGCCTATTGTGTGTATCAAAGAGTACGGAAAGCTCTTCGTGCATTGAAGTTTTAGTGAGGTACAAAAGTCTGTTCACATCGTTACTAAAGTCCTTTTCATGTTGACCGGTACGTGTAACTGGACCGATCCAATTATATTGGTTGACCACTTTAAAGTTTTCTTAAAATAGCCTGATTCTTACGTAAGAGAGTCACCTAAAGAAGACAGCAATCTTAGTTATATAAATGCATTCGAACCATTAACAATTTCCCTTTTTCAGGTATCAATCCGACTAAATCTTATGGAATTGAGACGTCTCTTGACACACCCTTGCCCAGGGATACAGTTTCATTGGATGAGGTTAAGAATTACCCGGATGTGGCAACAATGGCGTCGCGGTGTAGAAGAAATGTTACAGGAAGGGAAGATTTCGATTAGTCGGCGAAAGAAAAATGTAAGAGATGTAGCTGAATGAGAAAAACAATCAGAGAGAGCAGACCGACGCCAAGAACCTTCACTGATGAATTGTGGTAGTTGAGAGGACACCGATTGCAAAATCATGGTCATTGGTCCCATTCCTCAATGGTGAAGAAGCCTTTTAAAATTCATGGACCCAAATGGTGGTCTGACTCACAGATCACCACCAAAATTTAATGATTTTAAGTTAAATGATTTTTGGCCTTTCCTGAAAATTTCATCCATTTGAATTAAGTTGGCAACAAATTAATAAACAAACAAACAGACAGAAAAACGGAGGCCAAAACTGAACATTCTTGGCGTCGGTAAAAATCATCTTCTAACCCAGTAGGCGTGTACAATTATTTGGATAGGCTCATAGAAATTGAATGCAGAGACAACTTTAATTCCAAATTAATGTAAAGACCTTTTTATTTTCCTTTTTATTTTTGCAGATTTTGCTTCACTTCGGTACCTTGGCGCAAGGAAACAGACTGGACGAAACAGCTTTTAAGGGTAGGGAGTTGCTCGTCTGCTTAAAAGCAATTACGCGTTTTAATTATATGTCAAAACTAGAAAAGCACTCCCAGAGCGCAGACCTCCGCCAAGGCAGCGATTTATTATTATTATTGATTATTGATTGATTATTGATCCGGATCACCACCAAAAACTAATCATCTCTTCCTTGGCCCACTTTTGACAGTTCCTGAAAATTTAATTAAAATCAGTCCATAACTTGTTGAGTTATGCTGATGACAAACAAACAAACAAACAAACAGACAAACAGGGGTGAAAACATAACCTCCTTGGCGGAGGTACATGTAATTACAAAATGAGTATCATGCCGTTTTTTACCGCTGTCATCTTTATCGTAGGAGGGGAGGGGGAGGCAGCCGTAATTAACAGTGAACAACCTACAGTAAGGTGCATTTAAATACATTTCTTGTTATAATTCATGTCAAGATATATCCTTACTAAAGTTTTCTATAATGACCCAAGGTGGCCCTCTTGGAGAGCTGGTACAGTGGAGCGACCTGGTGGCCACTTTGTACATCTTGGGGCATGACGTCACCATCACCACGGAAATAAACCAACTTGGAAAGTAGGTCATAAAATAATATTCTATTTTTTAACTGGCAAATAATGAGTATTTGACTACTTTACCGTAATATAGACCAATACTTTTTATTTTTTGATCTAGGGCTACTAACCTGTAATAAATATAATGTCATAGGGTGTTGAACCCGCTAATTTAAGGCATTGAAAAATATGTTTCTAACATCATGGCAATGGTTACAATAAAATAATAGGGTGTGGTTTTGTGAGGAATTAAAGGTATAGAGGGAAAACTAATGGCGAGCACCTCCATAATTATAACATGCAGCGGGACAAAAGGTAGATCAGATTTTCCCAATAGCGAGCTAAACGTGAACTAAATGACTTCAGGGATGGGCCGTGATAAGTGAGCTCGACCCATCGTCAATGGAAATACGCTTTTTAATCCGTGCAGTACTGTTCCAGACTTATGGCGGATAATTGGCAGCGTCCAGTTCAGGCCAGTCTGGGCCGCGGGCCACTGCCCTATGACCTGATCTTCACCGATATACACGGGTACAAACAGTTCAGAAATACCCTGGCAGAGGCGGTTTTTACGAAGTCCAGGTACATGACCTTTAAAATAAAACGTAATAATAATAATAATAATAATACCAACAACCATCCCCAGGTCCAAACATTTTATGCTTGTACGGATATATTCCTCATCTAGTCTGATATACATGTATATCTATATTGATGAATTACTAGATAAATTAATAGTTCAACACTATAATCGATAACCAGACTGATTGATTGACATTAATTCACAATTTGATGACATTGATAACTTATGTTTCTATTACACAATCAATTTATTAAAAAGAACTGAAAATCTATAGTTATTTACAATAAATGGTTTTGTACAGTGTAAATTCATTAAGTGTGTCTGTATTATATATGTAAACCGAACATGAACAGGTGCCTGTTTCGCATACTCGACTCTTTTGGAACCGAGGCAGAGTTCAACTACAGGCCGTACGCCACCGGTTTCCATGGCAACAACCGTTCCAATACTTGCGAGTGGGGATGTCTTCATCTACGACTACAGCAGTTCTACACAATGTTTCGTAAGTATAGGTTCACGCTTTGCACGCTCCCTTACCCTGGGTTCCAGTTGTCTAAGAAGCCAAATTCGTCAACAAATCCATTTCTTTTTGGCCTATCCTTCAGCTCTGTGCTACAGGGGTATCTCGAAATCAGGTTTACCTGCAGCTGGAACAAAATCGGGGTAATATTTCGTTCAGCCTTGTTGAAAACTATTCGCCACGAAGGTATTTTCAAGGAACTGCTTACAGACGACTAATGAGACATTGAGAAATATTTCTGACATAATATTAAGGGCTGTGACGTCACAATTTCATTTACGTGCGTTTGTACTTTTTTATTCTTATATTTTGACATTCCCTTATATTTCGTATCTGATATTGCACCTGGTTAAACTTGAACTAAAAAAGTATTGTGCCAGATTTCCTGCATATTCTTCAATAACAAACCACCATTTTCTTGAATTAATCTCCAAATTTTATCTTTTTTCTAGCCCACACTCCGGACAACTCTTTCCTTGGATTTGTAATAGAGCGGCATAATGCTCGCGACGGTGTCAAGCAAAGTAGACGGATACAGAACCAGTCGTTAGTGTACGCTAAGCGAGAGTACATGTGGGAGGTAAAACGTCGGATCGGTATTTTAAAAACCGCCACCATGGTGGTTTCAGAACGAGGTTTAGGACACGTGTTTGCGATATCGCCAATGGTAAAGCAGGAGCGAGTAGCTTATTCCCTCATTCAAATGTCTGTTTATAAGAATCAATTTTTGTAAACAAAGTAGCCATTGAATTACAATGTTTCAGTTTACCATTGGTACACACAGTATTGTACGTGTTAGGTATGTTTTGGTTTAAGGGAAAACAAGCCTTCATCGATGTTATCCGAGAATTCTTTGATGTCCACGCCACATCAGAACTTCAAGCGCCACGTCATATGACGCAGTCCCCTATCCCGGAATATGTCCACAACCACTACGTTCTTCTTGGGGACAGCTACCAAGCCCTGCTACAACAGTCGAAGGTGCCTTCATATTTTCTGTTTTAGTGCCATGATTTGACAAAGAACATGATAGGCCTATTGATGATTAATTAACGTTTAACCCAGTGTACGTGTATATAGAAGAACTGTGGGTAAATGTTGCCAGAGATTAAGGGTTCATCCCCAGTGAAATTATCGTTATACGTAGATCGATCCAATCTCGCGGGATTCTCGCTGCATGCAGTCAGATTAACAGATTAACACGTCTTCTCCTTGCGTTGAACAGAATACAAAAAAGCTGGTGATTATACAAATGCGATGAAAACAAGAGAAGGCGTGTTAGTCTGATTACCTGTTACCATTCAGCGGAGTAGATATATCTAGAACGATAGTTTCACTGGGACTGAGCCCTAAGCATTATACTGCAAATGTGTGAAGCATCTCGTACAATTTCTTTTTAATGCCAAGATATTTGTGGGTCTGGGGTTCCCGTATGAAGGACCTGCTCCTCTCGAGGCCATCGCCATGGGGACCGTCTTCATAAACCCACGATTTCACCCGCCTCACAGCCGCTCTAACACGGCTTTCTTTGCAGAGAAACCGACAAACAGAGAGGTACATGTATCAAAAAGGTTTTAATCCATTTAGTGTATTACAAAGCATATGCATTTTATTTTCCTCTTTTTTTCATACCCCTTCATACCATCATTGTTTAGAGTATATGGCCACGTTATGTTTTTCAAACATGAGGGATAAAATGGGGGTCGGGGTTAATGAATGTTTGTCTACATTGCATTATCAATATTTATATCTTTTTTTTTCTAATTGTATCTCTTAGCCCTGCTATCTTCCTGTTAAACTCTCCTTACTGCTTAGCTATTTGGTTAATAATTTGATAATCTCAAGTGAGATTACTTTTTCTTAAATGTATGCTTTAAGAAAAACATCATGTTGACGTATTAATTATGTAAACTGGTATCGGTCTGTGTGTCTATATCTACATGTCTGCCCCCAGGTGACCAGCCAGCATCCGTATGCCGAGGACATAGGCGACCCTCACGTGTACACCGTGGACATTAACAACCATACTCAGCTGCGAGCCACGCTCCTCAGGGTGCTAACTAGGCAACAAGAGGTAATTAAGTAGTGTGTTTGTGTCTGCGTGTATGTGTGTGTGAGTGCGTATGTGTGCATGTGTGTGTGAGTGCGTATGTGTGCATGTGTGTGTGAGTGCGTATGTGTGCATGTGTGTGTGTGAGTGCGTATGTGTGCATGTGATTCGATGTTTTGTACCAGCTCCAATCAAATTTTAATTTCTAATCTCATTTACACCTCATTATCTACTGGGCGTATTTAAAAAAAAAGAAATATCGACTCAAGATGCTTCGATTGATTTTATCATTTTAAAGTCCGGGGAAGTCAAAATGCTTTAAAGGCTATATAGTCTAATAAAGATATAAAGATATGCGACATTTTCGAACGCATATAGCAAGTACACACATGCATCTTGAACTTGATGAAATGTTTGTTGACAACCGTAGCCTATTGTTAGTGGAACAATATCACCGCCATTACTCGAATGTTAGGGTAATTCACCAGATATTATGTTTTCAGGTGCCTCCTTTTCTTCCTTTCGAGTTTACCGTTGCCGGGATGTTGGAGAGGATGAATTATTATATAGAGAATCAAGATTTCTGTTCCAACCCCATCAGAAGTCACGTGCCAAGAAATGCCGTCCAAGGTTTTGTCGGTGCCGAGGGAAAGTCGTGCAATGATGTTTGCCGGAGTAACGGTGTGTAGTTTTTTTCCCGGTGCTTTGCAGCTTGGCACAATCATTGTGTCCCAACTATCGCATTCAGACGAAACTGCTATGAAATATGTTAATTCTTCTTCCTTGTGGAATAAATTATTTTAAAATACTTTGTGGCAGTATCATATAGATAGATTGATAAACAGATAAATAGAGCTAGGATACATTAATCAATCGAGAGAGAGAGAGAGGTATCCTGTCCAGCCATATCAGAGCTATCGCACAACATTTCAAAGCCATTTTATTTCATTGCAGGCCGTTTTTGCGAAAACACGAGGTTCAACAGCGTCAACAACATGGAGTTTTTACGGGCAAGAAATGTGACTTGCAGTACAGTTGTATCAGAGGCTGGGTTGGTTTACCCGTCTTTAGTTAGGCAAGGTGCAAGACGGGATTGTTTCTTTCAACAGAATGATATTCTGTTCAACTGCGCCAGTAAACTGGAGAAGCACAATCGATTGTGCGCTTGCAGAACGTTTAAAAAGGAACAAGTAGCTCTTTGCCATGAATGCTGACGAAGCATTTTTTTGTTTTATTGTCAAACTAGTGTACATATTTTGCAAGTCATTGTTTATAATTCATTGAATTGCCTTTACAAGTATGCACGCACCAAGACAGGGAAGATTTTGAAAATGACATTTGAAACGCAAAGGGGATCTCGGTGTTCGGTTTGACAGTGCCATAGAACAAGGAGGAACTTAACTTTACAAAGCCCACGAGTTCATGATACGAATAATAAAATAGTTCACTCGTCAAGAGCAGGTAAAATGGAATTTTCTTATTCCCGTCTCCCCTTTGTGATTATTTTTATTTTTGCTCGATGAACTTCTTCAATCGAAATCCTGACTACATGATACTGCATGGCTTTATTTAAAACTATTGCCTCCATTTCCAAGCAAACTCCATGTGCTACAGAGTGGTATCCACTTGGCGGTGAACCCCTGTCTCCTCCCAAATTATATATTATACATATACGTGGGCATATACTATATACGTGGGCCTGTTCTCTGGGGAAGATGTAGGAAAACACTATGTGAGTGCGAGGGGAATTTAAAGTTATTTTAAAAAGCAAAAAAAAAAAAAAATCAATTTATAACTCAGTATGCAAGGACGGGCTACAAACATCAACGACATTTACCAAATCTCGCCTTTCATCGAATTCCTACAGGTATTTATGAATTGGTAGTACAGATGTAGTTTCCTTTGAACATGACGTGTTGATATAGCCAATTCATCAGCCCAAATTTTTTCATTGACTGATGACACGGGACAAAATCATCTGTTCAATTTGCAAACGTACCACGAAAGCCCGAATGGCTGTGTGAAATGGCTCAAGACAAAGATATCACTTATTTGTGAGATCCATATTAGCGATATTAAATAAAACATGGACCTGAGACAGAAATACAGGAGGAATCAATTTGATAAATAATATTACTTGACTATATAATGGGAATTTTTTTGATTGTGATACCTCACTTGAAAGGGAACAGGCTTGATCAGTTGCTCGAATGATGAAAATGTGTGTAGTCAAAAATACATAAACGCATATTTTGTAATTGATTATTGGCACTGAAAGTGCAGACATATATTACGATGATTATATAGATGGAAATTTGATAAAGTTAGATTTAATATTCAAGCATCAGTTGATTTTTTATCCTGCTATTTTCTGTATTCACTGCACTCTTAGCAGATCATCATCCGGGGCAGCAACGGATTGAGTGTTTTTTTTATTTGTCTGCCATCGGCAGCTGCTGGGAGAACGAAGTGTGTGAATTTAGGATGGTCGTCCTAAGACTGCTTTTTGTCGGAGTTACCGTAATATTTCTGGGTAAGTTTGGCAGACACAGAAAGCACTAGGCAAAAGTGATGTTTTATCATTGTTTTTTTTTTATACAGCTGAAAAATATTCGTTTAAGAAATTATTCATCCGTGTGGTATAGATATTTGTATCTGAATTTAAAATTGTTCTATGATGTCCTTTCAATCCGATTCAGGATAAAAAGGATATTTAATATATATTGCAATATTCAGTATATACGTACACATAATAATAATAATAATAATAATAATAATAATAATAATAATAATAATAATTGATGCTGTTGGTATCTTTCCCCGGCAGATGGGACACTATGCAGAGGTTACACGCAGAATTTGGCTAAAGGCAAACCCGCCTACCAAAGCTCCACCTATCGAAATGAGTACGGTGTGTACAATGCCAGTCGTGCCGTGGACGGTAACTATGACGACGACAATCGCAATGGGAGTTGTGCCCACACTGGTTCTGGCCAGGGCCAATGGTGGCTGGTGGACTTAGAAACCACGGCGAGAGTGGCCGGTGTCATAATAACAAACCGTGGCGATGGATATTGTACGCTGGGTTCTGTGTGTTATATTATTAATTTATTATTGATAATATATATTATTAATTTATTCAACGCATTTTATTACTGTACAAGTAAACTGCACTTCTTGTTGCTGTTAATGAAAAACAGATAGGTATATGATCCACTTGAGATAATGCATGACAAAAGTGGACGACAGAACGTGAAGCTACTTGTAACTATTTTCTTAAATTATAAAAAATATTTCATTCATCCCTGTATCTACCTAACACGTACTGGTACGGACTTAATAAATGAGCTGTTGTTAAATTTGCCGTTACATATCACATCCGAGTATGATAAAAGTGCACTGTCATATTTAACAATTTGCTACTTTTTTATTTTCAGCTGACCGTCTGAATAATTTCGAAGTGAGAGTTGGAACCTGTTTTGTGGATAGTTCATCATTCACCCAGTACAAACTCTGCGCCAGTTACCCGGGGGCGGCACCTGTGGGGAACACGTCTCTGTCCTGTGGGTCACCACTGAGAGGACGATATGTCTTGATCATTAAAGTTGGCAATGACAACCATCACTTGCAGCTTTGTGAAGTGGAGGTTCATGGTGAGTTGATGGAATTTCATTGTGTGTACATATGTGTATTAATATGAGTTTTAAGGAGTAGGCCCTATGCATTAAAATTAATGTATCTATTAATCTCACAGATTTTATGATGAGTTCAACGTTGAAATAACCGACTTGTCACCTACTAGCACGTCCTTGTTATGAGTTTTGTAGGTCCCATAGTTCATTAATGTTTTTCTGTGTAGGTATTACCAGTGAAACTACGTCCCAGAGGGTAGCAGCAGGTGCGCGCGCACCCCTTGTGCCCATATCCACGCTGAATGTCCGCAGCATCACCGAATGTTGCAGTTCTTGTATGCAACAGTGGAAGTGTGCTGCCATAAACGTTCTCTGTGCTGGAAATGACCAATGTGTCTGTGAACTTCTGCCCAGTACTGCCCAGTCCGGCGACTTGCAGGCAGACACTGGTTCTGAATATTATGAGGACATCTGCTTGGGTACATTGTAAGACGAGACAGTCTAATAAATGTGGCTAAATCACTTTCAGAAATACCCCAGGGAAGCATTCATGACTACGTAACACTTGCCTTTTAAGTATTTCCTATCGTTGTGAAACATTAAAACGATATTGAATATACAGACTTGACATTTAATATGGAATATTTTTTCCAAATCATTTTTCATCAGATTTTTCCTATTTTACTGATTGATAAATGGAAATAAGGATTAAAATCGTGTTTTAATATCTTTTAATTATCTTTTTGATGTCATTATGACATCAGTTCAATTCGCCAGTGAAGCAAACAAAAATACATTGCCTATTCTATGGCGTACGACGACCATTAAAAGAGATATTTTAGATCTCCATATTTTCCAAATTATTATCTGTAAAACAGTTACACGCTCCACAAGGTACCCTCATGTCAGTGTCTAGTCACAGCAACGGTCGCTGTTACGCCTGACTTCTTCTGGCTGCTACCAGCGCTCTCAAGCGGCAAGGCATTCCTTGGGATAGGTTTTTAGAGTTTAATCTGGAATAACATTCCAGGCATCGGTCAAAACTTGTCCAATTAGGTTCAGTTTTGTTGTAGGACATGTAAGCCGTTGATTCGGCGGGTATTGACCTACCCACATATTGTCTATACGGTTCAAATATGGCAATTTTGATGACCAAGGAAGCTGCTCATTCCCTTGGATATGTAAGTTATCTGCTATTAAAGGCGCTCTGTGTGAGCCGGCAATCTCACTGTGCAACCTAAAATTGTTCCTAAGGTGCCCCCTATCAAATGATAGTCCAGTAGTTCCGAGATTATTCCTTTATTCCTTTTGATCTGGTTCAGGTTTTCGTCGATGACTACCATTGGAGTTTTGGCACCAATGTGGTATCCACACCAAATACTGACGCTGTCAATGACCCTAGTCACTTTGGGCGTGGCACACGCTTCGTTGTAGGCCTCTTCTGGATGTCTGTAAACTCTGTTTTGATTAGTTGAGCGGTGCAGGTGAAATCTGACCTTAATAAAGAAAGCCACGAGGTTTCAGTGTTCTACCCAGAAACGGTCATGGTCGCCAATTCATTGGAGAAACAGACGACGATGTTTTGCTGTTTACAGTGGGTTCCTCGGAGGTCGTCTGGTATTCTAACCTGCTAAAACAAGTTTGGTGTTCGTTAAGGGCCTTGAAAAACGGGTTTTGGTGGCAATTTACCCCTCATTCTTAACGGACTAGGTGGTTTTTGTTTAGTTGCAGCAGCATATCCCGAAAGACAGTGGGTCCTGTACCCTGGTGGTGAGATTTCGATACATTGGGTGTGGCCCCTGTGTAGGTACATCAGTCTGGGCATTACTCTATAAAATTGTGTAGACCGTTCCGTTTGGCGCAATTATCTGTCTGGTAATGTCTGACTTTTTCGTGCCATTCTGCCACAGGTTAAGAAATATGTAAAGCACTGCTTAGCTCATATACGCACCGATAAACCGACCACTTGCATGCAAAATTTCAAATTCTTCTATGCAGTACTTGCCGACATATGGATATTTTTTTAACCGAACCGTGCTTTGCCAAAGCCAAGTTTTGACCAGCCCAAAGGAGCACTATCCAATTAAATCACTGCACATTACATAATGCAGCAGCGCAACAGACAAGATATCAGCGACACACCTGACTACACATTTCTCCATTCACATATTTCATATGAGATCGGAGCTTTTTGAAAAAAATAACGCATTTTTACCAAGGCATTCCTTCGAAACTGAATCATTCCATATAAAATGTCAAGTCTGTATATTGCAGTACAGTTGTATCAGAGGCTGGGTTGGTTGACCCGTCTTTCGTTAGGCAAGGTTCAAGCCTTAAGTGTTTCTTTCAACAAGATTATATTCTGTTTAACTGCGCCAGCAAACCTCAGAAGCACAATCGATTGTGCGCTTGCAGAACGTTAAGAAGGAACAAGTAGCTCTTTGTCATAAATGCTGACGAAGCATTTTTTGTATTTTTGTCAAATGACAAGTGATTATTTATAATTCAATAAATTGCCCTTATAAGTATGCACGGACCATAACAACGACATTTTTGGAAATGACATTTAAAGCGCAAAGGAGATCTCAGTGTTCAGTTTGACAATGCCAAAGAACAAGAAGGTACTTAATTTTCCAAAGACTTCAAGTTCATGGTACGAATAATTAAATAGTTCATTCGTCAAGAGCAGGTAAAATGGAACAAGATGGATTTTCTTATTTCCCACTTCCCGTTGTGGTGATTATATATATATAAATTTTTTTTTGCTTCAGTTGAGGTTCTGACTAAATTATTCTACACGGATTAACTTAAAGGGATAACAACCTTTCGAATCAGATCTATATTTCACAATGAATACATTGTAAACTACTCATAAAAATATAATATATAATATATTTTCGAAAAAAAAAACAGGGACTGACTTTGGATGTAGAAATGGATTCATCAATCATTGGTAAGTATGGTAAAATTGTCGCTTACCCCAGGAAATTTCATTTATTGGCCAAAATGAACAGTTGTTATCCCTTTAAAACTAATGCCTCCTTGTGCTACAGAGTGGTATCCACGTGGCGCTGGGTCCCTGTCTTCTCCCAAATTATAATACATGCATTATTTAAGTGGGTCTTTTTTTCTGGTTCTGATGCTATGTGAGTGCTATGCGAGTGCGAGGGGGGTTTAAAGTTATATTAAGGCAACAAGGGGAACAAGAAGAAAAAGATATAACGATAAATTTATAACTCAGTATGTAAAGGCGGGCTACAAACATCCACGACATTTACTTTTTTCTAGAGACAACCACAACAATCATCGAATTCCTACAGGTATTTATAAATTGCTAGTATGGATGTAGTTTCCTTTGAACATAAAGTGTTGATATAGCCAATCCATCAGCGGATGTTTTTTTCATCGACATGTGACACGGGACAAAATCTTCGGTTCAATTTGCAAACGTATCATGAAAGCTCCACTGGCTATGTGAAATGGCTCACGACAAAGAAATCACTCATTTGTGAGATCCATATTGGCGATATTAAATAAAATATGGACCTGAGACAGAAATACACAAGTTAACATTTTGATAAATAATATCACTTGACGATGTAATGGAATATCTATTGATTTTGATGTCTCACCTGAGAGGAAATAGGCTTGATAAAATGCTCGAATAATGAAAATGTTATCAAAAATACATGAAGACGCATTTTGAAATTGATTATCGGCACTGAAAGTGCGGAAAACGTTGCGATGATGTAGAAATGGAAATTTGATTACGTTCGATTCCATGCGTCATACACGTTAAAAACACCCAGTTATACATATCTTTAACTGTCCATCAATTAAGTAACTGATGAATGCAATTAGCAATAGCTCTCTTTTTAAATATTCAAGCATCAACTGAACTTTTCTTCTGAGATTTTCTACACTCACCCCACTCTTATCAGATAACCATCCAGGACAACAACGGGATATTTTCTTGATTTGTCTGCCATCGGTAAATTGCTGAGATAACGAGGTGTGTGACTATAGCATGGTGATCCTAAGGCTGCTTTTTCTCGGAGTAACTATTATATATTTGGGTAAGTTTTGCAGAGGCACTAGACAAAGGCACTATACAAAAGCGGTGTTTTATAAATGATTTTTAATAGAGCTGAAAAATATGTATTTTGGACATTATTCATCCGTGGTTAGATATTTGTTTCTGAAAGTAAAATTGTTCTGTAATGTCCTTTCAATCCTATTTAGGATGAAAAGGATATGTAATATTCATTGTTGTATTTAATTCATACTTGCACGTAATAATAGTCATAATAATAATAATAATAATTGATGACATTGGTGTCTTTCAGATAGGACACTATGCAGAAGTTGCACGCAGAATTTGGCAAAAGGCAAACCCGCCTACCAAAGTTCCACCTACCAGACATGCGATGCCAGCCTCGCTGTAGACGGTAACTATGACGACGACAAGACCCATGGAAGTTGTACCCATACTAATGCTGGTCAGGGGCAATGGTGGCTGGTGGACTTAGAACCCACGGCGAGGGTGGCCGGTGTAATCATAACAAACCGTGGGGACGGATATAGTACGTTGATTCCGTATATTATATAAATTCAATGAGTTTATCGTACATGTAAACCACATTTCTTGTTGCTGTTAGTGTAAAACAGATAGGTATATGATCTACTTGAGATTAATGCATGTGAAAGGGGACGACAAAACGTGTATTTACATGTTACTATTTCCTTCAATGATAACAAATATTTTATCCATTGCTGCATCTACCTACCACGTACTAGCACGGTCTTAATAAATGATCTCTTGTTAAATTTGCCGTTACATATCACATCAAAGTATGATAAAAGTGCATTGTCAAATTTATAAAACAATTTGCTATTTTTCCATTTTCAGCCTACCGTCTGAATAATTTCGAAGTGAGAGTTGGAACCACTTACGAGGATAGTTCATCATTCAGCCAGTACAAACTCTGCGCCAGTTACCCGGGGGTGGCACCTGTGGGGAACACGTCTCTGTCCTGTGGGTCACCACTGAGAGGACGATATGTCTTGATCATTAAAGTTGGCAGTGACAACCATCAATTGCAGCTATGTGAAGTGGAGGTTCATGGTGAGTTGATGGAATTTCATTGTGTCTACATATGTATATTAATATGAGTTTTCATGTGCCTAAAATTACATGTATCTATAGTAACCTTACACATTTTTTATTAATTCAACGTTGAAATAACTGGTGAGTCACCTACTGACACGTCCTTTTAATGGGTTTTGTAGGTCCCATATTTTACTTATGTTTTTGTATAGGTATTTCAAGTGCAACCACCTTCCAGAGGGTAGCTGCAGATGCTCGTGCAAGCCTTGTGCCCATATCCACGCTGAATGTCCGCAGCATCACCGAATGCAGCATCTCTTGTATGCAACACTGGAAGTGTGCGGCCATAAACGTTCTTTGTGCCGGAAATGACCAGTGTGTCTGTGAACTTCTGCCCAGTACTGCCCAGTCCAGCGACTTGCAGGCAGACACTGGTTCTGAATATTATGAGGACATCTGCTTGGGACAAGAGTAGGACGAGACTAAAAAATGTGGCTAAATCACTTCAGAAATACCCCAGGGAAGCATTCATGACTACGTAACACATGCCTNTGTAGATGAGCAAACTGAATCCTGGCAATGCATCAGTGAGTGAGTGACAGATGATTCTGTCTCCAGCTAATGTGTCCAGTCAATGCCTAGGTCGTCAGGCATGCACTGATTCAATATGCCTATCACTTGGAACAAATGGGTTTCCTGAAACTTTAATGGAAGTGTTGACCTACCATCACAGCTGTTGCTGTAGTGATAAGGTGGCCACCAGAATAATGGCACCAGAATCTGCTGTGTCATTCGATCAAGAGCCCTGACAAAATTGGATAAGTACGAGGCACGAGGCATGCTGAAATATACATTCACTATAATTGCTGTTTTTTTTCCAAAGAGAATTCCCTCCTAGATATTCAAAAGAATAATCACCAGATAAAGCATTGCTAGCTCATGATATCAGACAGTGGGTGTGAGGGTCTTTAACCCACTGAAGTGCTTTTATTTCAAAGAATTATAAAGGAAGGAATGAAATGAAATATGAATTTAAATTTACTATACAATAATAGTATGAGTAATAAAAAAGGCCATTCAGAAGAAAGATTCTCAGTATGAAATACTACTGTTTGCATTGAAGTTGCCAGCTGAGGTGAAATCGAAATTGGTCTCTAATCTCATAGGTTTGCTTGCTTGCTTAAGGTATTTCCATACTGCATGTATAGAGGGAGCCACTGCAGCATCAAGCTCTCCTGCACTGGAGGACAATATAAGCATGCACTTCCTCTAGTCACCAGCTTTTATTTACCATGTGCTGTGTTGTTTTGAAATTATAAATCCCTAAAGATGAGTAATATTCCACCCAGAAAGGCTGGCAAGTTCATTTCACAGGGCAAACAGAACCGGATTAAGCATATGCAGAAGATAAGAAGCGGGTTTCATGACAGTGGTACAACTACAGAGCATAAACCATGTGTAGTTGATAGCGCTGAGAGTCAAATGTCTCTCCCAAGCACTAGTGACTGTTCTGCTGATAAAAACAGTGGAGTTTTATATGGGACAAGGCTCGTTGACCTCCAGTATTATCAATATTAACAATATCAAAAAGTGAATTTCACGAACCCCCTCCCTAAATAGAACCCCCTCCCAAGAATCCCTGGATCCCCCCTGTCTTTCATTATATTCTCAATTATGAAATATTCAGCAACTAAATATAGTGAGAAATACCATGAATGCTACTTTGAGGGCTATAGAGTTGAAGTGATGTATATTTGGGGCTTGAACTGAGGTGACATTACATTTTTCGGCATTTTTTGCCTTTTTTTGATAATTTCAATTGACTATATTTCAATATTTAGCCTGATGACCTACTATTTTTTTAACATCATGTCATGAAGTACTCATAGGAGAGTGTTTTTGCTCATTTTCATGAAAATTAAATTCAGGGATTGGGTACAATGACCAATTTTGTGTAAAATTGTTGGTTTCCAAACTGGCCACCAGGTGGCGTAGAAACATGATGAGGTCAGTTCTAAAAATAGAAACAACAATAAATGTATGAAAAAATGTAAAAATATTCTCTTTTCTCTTCATTAAAATCTTAACAGGTGTAATTATCCCCCTCAGGAGTGATATACTGGGCCTGAAAACTTATTTATATAGAGGCGCTGCGATATCCAATTCTAGCATTTTAGTCCATATTTCAGTTGGCTGTGGTGAGGAAACTAAACCGGTGACCATATCAAAAAAAATCATTTTTATTACCAGTTTCACCTGTACTTCATTGGTGCAAAGTTTGGAGACAATTAAATTAGAGAATCTAAAAGTATGGAAATTGCTTAATTGTTGAAATGTGATAACTCAGATTAATCCCATTTCACATCTGCCTGTTACTTAGTAATGGCCCTGGCAGCATGTAGATATCTAGTCTGTGTATGTGACACATCAACTTGTATAGAACAAACTGCTGTGACCATTATAATGCCATATAATTGCAAACTTAGTGCAGCCAACTGTAACATTAATCAGTTGTGTTCCAATGCAGTGACAGCATGTATTATTGATTTTTGATTTTCAAGAATTAGTGGATTAGAATGTTTCCACCAATTGGCGTGTTGTATGCTATAATGCATGCATGCATAAACGTTTATGCATGCATGTATAATGGGCTCCCCTTCGTCATTGCCCATATTCTGGGCATGCTGGTGACACTGGTGCTGGGCCCATGTGTTCAGATCATGGGAGGCCTTATAGGAAGCTTTTAAGTCAGTCGTTCTTTTGCTTCAGTTCACATTAAAAGAATATCCATTTAAGGCTTAACTGATCATCATGCCGGAGATAAATCCAGATAGAGTAGAGCACTTAGTGGTGCAGCATTACTGTTAACCACAAGGGACAAAAAGGTCTTCAGACTGACAGTCTGTATCATAAAGAATAAAAATAGTACAATTAAGTCATAAATGATTCTTAAATGAAAAATCCTCCAAAACATTTTTAATGATTTTTTATTTTGAAAATTAAACCATTTGCTGACTTTCATTATTATTCCCTTCCCAATTCTCTTTTTCCCCCATTTTATTTGTTAGTCTTTGTGACACTTGTTTTTCTCCTTTCAGATTCATTCCAGGCCTTAATACAGATGGCAGATCCAGTAGCTGCACAAGCTGGCAAACTGGTAAGTATATATGAATCGGGTTCCATTTGCCGATGAACCACATGGTGGTAATAGCCTAATTGAGGCACATAACAACACATGAGCGATGCTTTTTTCAATCAAAACATTGTTACAGTAATCTCCAACAGCACATTCAGGTCTGCCCAACTGCTGCCAGATTATGAGCATTACCGATGATCTGCATGTCTAACAATTTTCAGTTCAACCCACTGATAGTCCGCATAACTGTACCCATATATTTTGTGCGGCACATAGTTATGTGTAAGGTTTCATGTCTCACAATTTTCAATATGAGAGCTACCTTATTTGAGTTTGTGTCTAGTTTTCACATTGTGGTTAATGATGGAACAAATGCATTGAGACATCATTGACTGTCAAGTAAAACAAAGCCTGCCACAAATTAGTCCTCAAATATTTTGATAGACTAGATTTTTAAGACTGTTGCTCTTATTTGGAAGATATACAGTTACTAAACCTCCAGTATAATTTTTGCCCCTCAGTCTAGCAGTTGAATATAATGCTGTGTGGTTGTATCTAAGATGCTCTAAAATAAACAAGACACTGTTGGCATTAATTCATCTCAGGTGAAGGACTATTTCTAGACCAAAAGTACACCCAGTCTCATTGCCTGCAGAGCCCTGGAACCTGTTTGTATGTGCCAAAAAACAAAACAAAACAAAAAAAAATATATTGGTATGATTTGATGAATATTGTTGGGTTGTGCCAAAAATTGCTGACATGTAAAACCTGTTAAATGTGCAAAAATGGTAATTAGGCAGCCCTTACATTGTCGAGTCTCCACCAACACAATGTCACAATGGTGACATTCAGGATACTTTCATACTGGTATCTGCTAGTACTAACGAAGGACAGATGAGGCCACTGATATCTTGACCTGAGAGACAGATGTAAAGAATTTCTACAGAGTTTGTGATTAACTTCAGTTCCAGCAGAGACTGACAAGGCCTCTGTAGGGTTTAAAGATTTCTAAAAGTGAACCCACTGAGATTGAAGTTTCCCTTTGTGGTGCAGTAAATTGAAACTAATGAGGAAATGAGTGATTTGAGATTTGAACATCTTAACATCTGTGCTCTGGGGTAAATGAAGATGGCATTGAGCTTTATTTGCAGCCAGTCATACAATAAATGGCTCCAATTTTGCAGATCATATGATACTTGCCTCTCTGATTAACCCAACTGCTATGATATTGTGCTATCAGAGTATGAAAGCAAGACACCCTACTCCTATGAATTGCTATCAGATATGTCTATTGTAGTTGTTTAATTTTCAGTTGTCATAGCACTTATGTGCAAAGTGATTGGCAGTGCCGCTAGTCTGGGAGCTACAATAATTTTATCTGATAGAGTTTATTTGAATAACAGCTTATGCTACCAAAATTAAGTGTCTTGTTTTTTGATTATTTTTAATGTTTTTACCTCGGTATTTAAGTTTAAACATCTTTTACAAGAAATTGGAGATAAAAGAAAATATGATGAATGCAGTTTTCAAAGAAGTGTGTACTTAGTCAATTGTAAACCTGACTAGAAAAAATTATATGAAATGTTATTTTTTTTCCCTTTAATTAGTCACTTGATGGGCAGAATATCTATACAGGGTGCAACTCTCTGCGCATAGACTTCTCCAAGCTGTCCAGCCTTAATGTCAAGTATAATAATGAAAAGAGCAGAGATTACACCAACCCCAGTCTCCCAACCGGGGATTCCATTGCACACCATCATCCCATGGATCATGGAGCAGCTGCCTTTGCTCTGGGTAGATATGTAGCCTTGTTTTGCACTGAACACATTCTTTCTGGTCTAATTATTTTTATGCACTCAATGCACGCTAAAAAGTATGTTTTTTCAGTAACTTGTGTCAAGGTAACACTTCTGTATTTTAGAATTAATTATTTTTTTGCAGTAATTTGTTTTATTAGATGAATTGGTTGTTTGGTTTTGTATATATTAACGAAGTAGAACATGGAAACAATTGAGTTTTTTTGAAGAATTTTGTGTTGGGTGTATCATCATGACACATTTGTTCGCTTTCCCTCTTGCCTTCTTTGGGCAAGTTTCAACATCTGCCTCCATAAAGTCTGGTAATAGTCTCAAAATGTCAGGCCACATATTATGATATAAGGGGAACTTACAAGATAGCCTTTTAAGACTGTGGATTGCTGTGACCAACTATGGTCACTTATACATGGCACTGATAATTCTGTTCTTCCTACAATTATCACAGGGTGAACTTCTATTTANTTAAGTATCTCCTATCGTTGTGAAACAATTAAATGATATTGATGTGCTAAGCTGAATATACATGTATATTATTAGATGATATGCCACGCTGGGGTAGTGTTGTAAAAACTGACCATTCATATTGTATTAGAAATGTGCAGGTGGTGATCGCTCCCAAGACTGACCTAAACTAGTGTGAAGACGACATGGTCTCAAGAAGGATCATTTAAATTTGACTTATGAATAAAAAATAAAAAAACTTCAATTTCGATGTTGCAATTAATAAAACTTTTGTTTGGCATCTTTACTGATAATTTGGAAGTTCACTTTTCAAAATATTGCACTTAATTGAAGGATGTATCGGTGTGATTCAATATGCGTTATAACAGCGTTGTTACATGTATCACTTTAGGTGAAAGAAATCTGTTTGAAAGCGATAACATAGTTTTTCATCCCACAAACGGTTCTGTTATATCATGAGCTCTAGTTAGCAAATTCACCCTGACCTATTTTTTAACGCGACAGCAGTATCTCATGCTTTGGGTGATACCCTCAAAATACAAAAATCAAATAAAAATTATATACGATGAACAGGAATCAGTTTAATCAGTTATATCTCTTTCACGTGGCAACGGGTGTTTTATTGATTGATTACTCGTTTTATTGATGATTACTCGTTTTATTGATTGATTACTCAGCTAAGAGAGAGCAAGGTGAGACAGTAGCGTGAATGATGAAAGTGATCATGTTACGTCATAAGGTTCGATTCCATGCGACGCAAAAAAAAAAAATTGATCTAACATTTTACTCTGTTTCTCTTCAGTCACTCCACTCTCAGCAAAATCACCCAGGGCATGAACGGAATATTGTGTTGATTTCTACCATCGGCAGCTGCTAGGACAACTAAGTGTGTGAATAAAGGATGATAACATTAAGAATAAAGAATGATGACATTAAGAGTGCTTTTTGTCGATTCCATGCGACGTACACATAAAAAACATCCTCTTTTTAATGTTCAAGCGTCAATAAATCTAACATTTCCCTCTGTTTCTCTGCAGTCACTCCACTCACAGCAAAATCATCATCCAGGGCATGAACGAAATAGTTTCATGATTTCTGCCATTGGCAGCTGCTGGAATAACGAGGGAATAAATACAGGATGATGGCCTTAAGAGTGCTTTTTGCCGGAGTAACTGTGATATTTTTGGGTAAGTTAAGCAGAAACAGCACTTGGCAAAAGTGGTGTTTTGTTAAAGTTTTGTCATAGAGCCAAAAAAGATGTACAATGTTTTCTGGCCGTGCTATGATATCCTACATGGCACAATATCGTAACATTATTCATCCGTGTGGTTAGATAGTTGTTTCTGAATTGAAAATTGTTCGTTGTTTCTGAATTGAAAATTGTTCTAAGGATGAAAAGGATGTTCAATATTTTTGTAGTATTCAGTTTATACTTGCAAATAATAATAATAATAATAATAATAATAATAATAATAATAATAATTGATGTGGTTGGTATCTCTCTCCGGCAGATGGGGCACTATGCAGAGGCTGCACGCAAAATTTGGCTAAAGGCAAACCCGCCTACCAAAGCACCACTTACGTAAATGTGAACGGTGTGCACCCTGCCAGTCGTTCTGTGGATGGTAACTATGACAACGTCATGTCCAATGGGAGATGTAGCCATACTGATCTTGGTCAGGGTCAATGGTGGCTGGTGGACTTAGAAACTACGGCGAGTGTGGCCGGTGTTATCATAACAAACCGTGGCGACTGCTGTTGTAAGTCCTTTGGTTTAATATTTATATATACTGAAGATGTATCATTATCGTAATTCACGCTTTTATTGCCGTAGATCAAAGTGTTGGGCGGTTACTAAGTCAGTACGATCCTATTAAGATTATGCATGTGGAAATAAGACGAGATATCGTGTAGCAACATGTATTTTTAATAATAGTGACATTTTATCTATATGTATACGCGTATCTACCTACTTCGTACGGTTTTTATATCAGGGCCCCGTATCTCAAAAGCTTCGCTTGTGGCGAGCGTGCGCAAGCATGGCGAGCGTGCGCTATCCCATATCTCGAAAGCTTCGCAAATCCCGGCCTTGCGCTAATGGCGAAATCTCCATTAGTTTCGAGGCTATTATTTGCGGCGATACAAACTAGTCGCAAAGGCCTCGGCGTATGCATAATTTGTCATTTTAATGTGTCTTTTATGTAATTAAACATGGTGGCAAGTTTGGGTTGCTAGTCATAATAGCATATAATAAAACATGTAACAAAAACATGGAAGCTGTTAATTGATTGAATCACTGGTACCTCTGATAGAAAAAAATTGCTGTAAATATTCACGTGAAGAATGCTAAAGTCATGTTTTATTATGCAGAAAAATTTCAAAATTAAACATTTCATACATCATTTTATATTTTCTGGTGAATTTAATTATCTGTGTAGTCTATTGATAATAACAATAAATTTAAAAGTGCCATTTTCCACACAAAATGAAAAAGCACAAACAAAGCATTCAGTTGCACCGTACCATGACTTTCCTCAATGTCTATTATTGTGAGACTGAACAATACTCACCAATGTTTCAGTAATTGTGTCAGTCCAAGCTTTGCTTATTGAATTGTTTTTTGACATTTTATTGGTGTCAAACACGTCAAATATCAGTATTTGTAATTATGATCTTCCTACAAATAAAAACAACCTCTTGATGAGCGTCAAGGTGAAAAAAATTAAATTTTGTGTAATTGTTAGGACGTCTTCACAATCGAATCGCAATCGAATTTTAGTAGAGTTTGAGGTTATAATTGCATTGCGTTTGCTAAGGCTTCGAGATAGCGGGTGGGTGCAATCGCACTCGCAAATAGCGCGGAATCGCCATGCTCGCGAAAGTGCGCAACATAGCGAAGCTTACGAGCTCCGTATCTCGAAAGCTTCGCTATGTTGCGCACGTGCGCTATCCCATATCTCGAAAGCTTCGCAAATCCCGGCCGTGCGCTAATGGCGAAATCACCATTAGTTTCGAGGCTATTATTTGCGGCGATACAAACTAGTCGCAAAGGCCTCTGCGTATGCATAATTCGTCATTTTAATGTGTCTTTCATGTAATTAAACATGGTGGCAAGTTTAGGTTGCTAGTCATAATAGCATATAATAAAACATGTAACAAAAACATGGAAGCTGTTAATTGATTGAATCACTGGTACCTCTGATAGAAAAAAATTGCTGTAAATATTCACGTGAAGAATGCTAAAGTCATGTTTTATTATGCAGAAAAATTTCAAAATTAAACATTTCATACATTATTTTATATTTTCTGGTGAATTTAATTATCTGTGTATAGTCTATTGATAATAACAATAAATTTAAAAGCGTCATTTTCTACACAAAATGAAAAAGCAGAAACAAAGCATTCGGTCGCACCGTGACCTTCCTCAATGTCTGTTATTGTGAGACTGAACACTACTCACTAATGTGTCAGTAATTGTGTCAGTCCAAGCTTCGCTTATTGAATTGTTTTTTGACATTTAATTGGTGTCAAACACTTCAAATATCAGTATTTGTAATTATGATCTTCCTACAAATAAAAACAACCTCTTGATGAGCGTCAAGGTGAAAAAAATTAAATTTTGTGTAATTGTGTTATGACGTCTTCACAATCGAATCGCAATCGAATTTTAGTAGAGTATGAGGTTATAATTGCGTAGCGTTTGCTAAGGCTTCGAGATACAGGCGGTTGCAATCGCACTAGCAAATAGCGCACGCTCGCCATGCTCGCGCACGTGCGCAACATAGCGAAGCTTTCGAGATACGGGACCCTGATCTACTGTTTACTTTGCCGCTACATGTGTAATATTAGATTTAAATATTAGCCACTTTTTATTTTCAGCTGAACGTTTGAATAATGTCGAAGTGAGAATCGGAACCTCTTATGTGAATAATTCATCATTCACCCAGTACAAACTCTGCGCCAGTTACCCGGGGGTGGCACCTGTGGGGAACACGTCTATGTCCTGTGGGTCACCACTGAGAGGACGATATGTCTTGATCATTAAAGTTGGTAGTGACGATAGTTACTTGCAGCTTTGTGAGGTGGAGGTTCATGGTGAGTTTACAGTATTTCACTTTGCGTACATATGTATATTAATATGAATTTTTAGGGGTTTGCATGCATCTGTTAATCTTACATGAACACAATTTATGATTAATTCAACGTTGAAAAAAAACGGCAAATTACTTACTCGCGCGTCTTTGCTACAGGTTTCGTAAGTACCGTAGTTATTTTTTGTATAGGTATTACAAGTACAACTACGTTCAAACGGGTAGCAGCAGATGCTCGCGCAACCCTTGTGCCCATATCCACGCTGAATGTCCGCAGCCTCATCGAATGCAGCATCTCCTGTGTGCAAAACTGGAAGTGTGTGGCCATAAACATTCTCTGTGCTGGAAATGACCAATGTGTCTGTGAACTACTGCTCAACACTGCCCAGTCCGGCGACTTGCAGACAAGCACTGGCTATGAATATCATGAAGGCAACTGCTTGAGTACATTGTAAGACGAGACAGTCAAATGAATACTTCAGGGAAGCATTCGTGACTTCGTTACACGTCTTTTTAAAGTATTTTTTATTGTTGCCAAATAATTAAATGATTTTGTTGTGCAAAGCTTAATATGTATTATTAGATGGTATGCCACGCTGGGGAAGTTTTGTCAACACCTCAACATTGATTTTGTATTAGGAATGTGCTAGTGCTGATCGCTCACATTACGGACCTAAACTAGTGTAAAGCCGACGTGATTGCAAGAGGGATAATTGGGTCAAACCACCGCTTGTAGTTCTTCCGCTTCTTCGTAAAAAGGTGCAAGAAATCGACGGGTGTCCGTCGTAACTCCGCAACTTTGAACCCTCTTCCAGGTTGACAGATTGATTTTTCACTGATATTCACACATATGTCTCTAGATAAATAGACAGTCATTTTGGTCTGATGTCTAGAAGAAGTTCCCTTTTCAAACTAATTTCCTGGCACTTAATAGGGGGACTTATCGTTGTGATACAATACACCTTAAAACAAAGTCGTTAGCTGTTTAGGTGAAAGTGATTTGTTTGAAAGCGATAACATTTTTCACCCCAAGAACGAGTCTGTTATATCACAAGCTCCAGCTAGCATATTCACCCTGATGTAGATTTAACGCGACAGCATTATCTCATGCTTTAGGCCATAGTTTCTGGTATGGCAGTGGGAAACTGAAAAAAAATCAATGTATCAACTCTTTATTCCGTATAATGTGTACGCTTTGGTGCTTTTTTAGTGTTGACTGTGTACAAAATGATTATGTTGCCACAACGTGACAGATAATCGACTATTACTATTGTACGTGAGCATATCATTTTTATGTATTGGCTTTTTGGCTACGATAAATTTCGTCTGAACCTTTTCAATTACCCATGGTTCAAAAGGATTTGTTGAGTGCAGAACTTTCATAAAGAGATATGCCACCTACAAATTGTATATCCAGACGGCACGTTTTTGGATCGTTTATCATAACCACAAAAACTAATACGCTTTTTTATGGAGGCAATTAAGGTGTAAATTAAAGTTAAATGTGTAATATAAGATGTAATGTGGTTATTTACAGTGCACTGAGACCATGCAATTCTCATTCTATCATTACTATAATTTCACATGTATGAGATTGAGAAATTCCTGAAACCGGAGGAGGCATACTGCTATTTACTAATACATGTACCTCCATTTTTAAAAGAACTAATCGATGGATGTTATCGTTTCTATCTCTTCTCCGTACATTTACAAGGAAATCCTAATCATTTCTGAACCTTGGGGTTCCAAATTGTTTTTTCAATTAACTAAAAATATCAAACTTTAACAATGTGTGGAACTCTGCATTTGTACCATGTATTGCTTTGGCGAGTGAAAAGCGGGCTTGTTTATAGGAGCAGGAAACCCCCTTCCAATCAATTCCGCGATATGATAGATGTTCGTTGCACTATGTTGTTCATGTGTTGTGTGAATGCATGTTTTAAGTCAATGTAAAACCCAACTTCATTTTCGAGGATTTTTAATGGTAATTAGTCCGATAATTTAAAAATATTTTTGACATATCTTCTATTTGAAATCATTTTTTTCATACATCATACATACGCTGTTGTCCAAAATGGATCGTACACGTCGAAAATAACTTGACTTTTTGGGATATTTAACTCGTATTTCTAAAACGCAACTCTTGGTACGAACAAGGAACCATTGCACAGGTTGGCAGGACATTACGTAAAATGTATGTGTACTATTAATACTTTTCAGTCAGTCACTCTTTTCTTCACCCTGTTTATCTAATTTTGCATGGAATTTGTTACATTTTGGTTTTTATTTATTTTTTTCATACTTCATATTCACGCAGTTATTGCTTTTTGTGAATCTATTCCATAATGACGTGGTTTGCGCTTCGCTTAAAATGCGATGTTTTCGGCTGGTAATTGATTCTTGATATTGATTTTTTTCTCTTCTTGTGTTGACGGAAAACACACTGTGCCCAAAACCTTAAAGCATAACCTTATACATGTTGTATAACGTAACATCAATAATTGTATGATAATAAAAGATACGGATAACTCAAAAACGATTTTTTAACAAAAATTATAGCACATTTAGTAAAAAATTCAAAGGTTATAGAAAGAGACGTCGGAAGTCTGCCGATTTGAAGACATATCTCCCGCTCCCAATCTATCAGAGTTTCCTCTCTTCCCTGTCGTTAGAACGCTTTATCCCCACTTTTAAACGCTTAGAGAAATATATCTGTTGACTGTTTTCATAAAAAATATACCGTAACATAATTGCTTCCCTAATTTTGTTAATTAAGGTTAGCAACTGCAGTAAACAATGAGGAGGAAATACTAAAAATAAAACCACGTCGGGTCTTTGTGTGAGTATTAACCTGAACACTTTGTCTGTGTAGTGATGGAAAAAGAACAGAAAAAAAGCGATTATTTAAGCCGCCGTGGAGTTAACTACCTGGGGACTGCTTGTCATAATAGCTTTTACAGGCAGACCTCCTTGGTTAACATTTAAATAGCAAACTCGCTATCTAATCCAATTAATAAGAGACGTGATAGTACCTATATGTGTAGATCAAATTATTTAGATTATTAGGTTGGGATTATGAAAGGCTTGAAGGTCTTCTTAGAATACTACTTTGATTTTTTTTTCATTTACAAAATAATAATAATAATAATAAAATAAATAAATTTTATGGGGTGTGAGGATAGGTAATTTACAAAGAAATTTAATTTATACTTAGAAAAAATTCCGAGTACAAAGGAAATAGGCTTGATTGTCAACTCTACCTGACGTGTGAATTAGCGGAGCAATTCCCAATAAAAGCGACGCGATGGCCACTGAAATATTGGAGGGCAAAAATAAACGTATTTCACTATTTATTTAAACAGGCTTGTACTTTGTATAAGGTGTATACGAGCTGATGAAATTGTTAAATTAATGTAAACAATTTAGGCATGGTGGTGAACATTTGAAGCCGAGGCAACTTTCTACGGGCTTTCCTTTTTGGCTATAGCATCCAGCAAACCATTATGAAGGAGCACCGCATGGGATGTAAATCGAAGAATAATTAAGATATAAATAGAAAACACCTTTACTGCTTGAGACAGCCATATGTGGATGTGGGAATGGATCTAGTCATATACCATCATAAACAACTGTGATAACATTGCATATGTCTATCTAAAGTAGCCCGACATGGTAAAATTTCCTGGGTCTGTCGTCCCCACCGTGTTTACTGTGGCTGTGACATCCGGTCATTTGGTCTCTCGAACAACACTACCAACTGGAAAACCAGTTTATTATATTGTTAAACAGTTACCGGTAAAAAAAATGTGCAATTTGCAAACGTGTCATAAGCGCTCGAGTGGCTATGTTTAAAGACGCACGATTAAAATATCACTCATTTTGGAAGTCCACGTCACTAATATTAAATAAAACATGACCAGAAGACAAAAATACGCCAGGAAGTAATCAATACATGAGGAACCAAGTTTATAATAATATTGTGATTGCTCATATATATATATATATATATATATATATATTTTTTTTTTTTTTTTAGATATATAAGTCTGTCCATCCACCAGTTTTTAGGTACTCCAATATGTCAACAGTGGTTGCCACCTCCACTTACCAAAAATGTTATATGTTTGTTTTTCTGGTTATATGCCTATGTCAAGTTGATTCGGCAATAAACTATACAATACTATACTATACTATACTAATAATAATAATTGATGTTGTTGTTATCTCTCCCCGGCAGATGTGACACCATGCAGAGGTTGCACGCAGAATTTGGCCAAAGGAAAAGCGGCGTACCAAAGTTCTACGTATATCCAACATTTTAGGCTATGTTATTCTTAAGTTCCTCCAAGACAGTTAGGCACAACTCAACTTGAGACAGATTTTGGTTTCTTGGTGTGTTTGCAACCAATTTGTTATCAATGTTGATACAGATACGCCAATGTTATCGTACTAACACATAAAGCCTTCTAGCTCTAAGATATTTAACATCACGTTAAAAGCTTTAAAAACTCTCGGCTTTGAATACAGAGGGATGTGCATAAATAATGCTTATTCACTTTACAAAGTTCACCATGAAGTTAACGATAACCTGTCAATCATCACCGTCATCCTTCCGTCCGCTTTGTTATAGTCCCATGGTTAATTAGGTCATCTTTTGCAGGTATTACAAGTTAAACGATGTTCCAGCGGGTAGCAGGTGCTCGTGCAACCCTTGTGCCCATGTCCACGCTGAATGTCGGTAGCCACATCGAATGTTGCAGTTCTTGTATGAAACAGTGGAAGTGTGTGGCCATAAACGTTCTCTGTGCCGGAAATGACCAATGTGTCTGTGAACTTCTGCCCAGTACTTCCCAGTCCGGCGACTTGCAGACAGACGCTGGATATGAATATTATGAAGATAGCTGTTTTTGATTGAATAATCTAAGAGACCATTCCCAGAGACTTTCGCATTAACTTTGGATCGAACTATATCTTCGAGGAGATTCTCGCTTAATTGCAATTAATTTAAGCGGCTTAGATGTCTGTCACGCCTACTGAAGCTAAAAGGGAGTAATTAACTATCGTGTAGCAGCTTTAGCAGACATCCAGACATATTATCCACTCAGGCTGAAAGCAATTTAGCGAGAAACCCCGTGGAGATGGACCGATCCTTTTAGATCGATCTAGGGATGGGAACCCAGTCTTATACAATATCACGATATTTGTGTTCATACAGGTATTACTATAAAAGCTGTTTATCATTGTGCGCATTCTGAGTCAATATAGGTTTTCAGAAAATCGATCATTCTTTTTTTTTTTCTTTGATTTGTTCTTCTTCACTATATACAGAGTTTATAGATACGGTTTATCTCCGGTAGAGAATGCACTAAAATACCAGCCTGTTTTATGCGTTCATGCAGCGAGAAGTTCACGTTTACATTTCAGCAACACAGTTTGAACGCTTGATGCAAAATTGACATGAACTCAAATTAAGAGCCCAAAACTTCTCAAATGCAGTGCGCTCTTCCACCTATATCCACTTTTCCACCACCCTTCCACCTTCGTGCGCCAGAAACAAAGATGGTCTTTCGGGCATTACCTTGACAGGCCTACCCAACTACCAGACTCGGCACCTAAGGATCCTGAATTAACCGGTATATCGGACCACGCTACCCGTTTTCAAGGTGTGTGTCAGATCGCATTTCGGAGTATCATACCCCAGAATAAATTTTGTAGCACGACTGCGGGCTCATCCACGCTCGGCTGAACAACCTTAAACTGTACTCATACTTTAGAGTACTCTATTTTATTGTCTCTATGGGGATATATGGGGACTTTACGACATTCGGTTTGAAAGTTTTAACCACTTTTGATAGGGCTTTTTTGCATTGTATTAGATTAATGTGGCAGTCTAAGGTTCATCTAGGTTGCTTTCAAATTTATGCACCCGGTTTTAAAATCATATAGCGATTTTACGACAATCGTTTACTATCCAATCAAGGTGACAGCCGAGCATGCCAGGGCTCATCCTGTCGGTGTTCTGGCTGATACTCCGAAATGCGATCTGACACACACCTTGAAAACGGGTAGTGTGGTCCGATATACCGGTTAATTCAGGATCCTTAGGTGCCGAGTCTGGTAGTTGGNTGGTAACGTTATTATAACGTTATGTGTTTACATGGAAGGGGGTGTGTTATACTGGTATATCTATAAATATGCTATGGTAACGTTATTATAACGTTATGTGTTTACATGGAAGGGGTGTGTTATACTGGTATATCTATAAATATGCTATGGTAACGTTATTAAAACGTTATGTGTTTACATGGAAGGGGTGTGTTATACTGGTATATCTATAAATATGTTATGGTAACGTTATTATAAATTTATGTATTTACATGGAAGGGGGTGTGTTATACTGTTATATCTATAAAATCAATCCGTGTTCGCGGTAAACTTTAAAGATATATTCAAAACAAGTGTCGATGGAGCCTTTCTCCTATTTAAGCATATTTACCAGTGTTGTAACTAGCACAACAATGTACACATATTTGTATGGAAAACTATTTTCAAATATTTATTTTTGTCTCTTCCTGTCATGATGAGAAACACACTGTCCCCGTGACCTTATACGCATTGTGTTAGGGGTGACACTTAATTTGCTCTTTCCATCAAATGGTTTATGGTCCATTTCTGTCTGTGTTGCTAGGTAGATATAAACTTAATTGATATAAGAAGATATAAGAAATATGGATGTAGATACTCGTAAATCCCCTAAGTCAAAGATCGCTAGTGGGTATAACTTGATAATAGCACTACAAAAAATTCCAGATACAAAACAGTATATTGAAGATGAACGGACACCTGTTTAATCACTGATATCACGTTTACATGGTAACGGGTATCTTATTGATTGTGATTGTTCAGCTAAGAGTGAATAAGGTGGATCAGCAGCATAAATGATGAAAATGACATTGGTGACGTCAGAGACAGTGACATATTATGTGATTGACCTTCTGCACTGTTAGGGCGAATAGTAAAAACAATAATATTGAGTTTTTCAAGGCTCGATCCCATGCGGCATACACGTAGAAAACGCCCGGTTACATTGCACTATCCATCAGTTATGTAATTGACGATAGCAATTTATTACCGCTTTGTAATCATCCAATTGAGCTTTTCTCCTGCAATTCTCTGCAGTCATTCCACTCATAGCAGTTCATCATCCAGGCAACAACGGGACGTTATCTTGGTTTGACTGCCGTCGTCTAGTCTCAGAAGCACATCCCGGCCTGGGGGTACATGTAACAATAGCGTTTTGAGTATGGTGGTGCTGAGACTTCTTGTTGGGTTGACTGTCCTTGTTTTTGGTAAGACATTGGCAAATTGCACAAAGCAAAACGAACTTTTATTTATTTATTTATTTAAGTGTGAAAAATACATGGACATACTTTCATTTGCAGCAAAGCAATATAATTACAATATTTATCAGTGTGATGAGCTGTTTGTATCTTACTTAGATAGTGTATTAAAACGTTCTATCTTTTTCAGTACGAAAGTGACATTCGATATCATTTGAAACACCCAATTTTAGTTGCATATTATTATTATTATTATCATTATTATTACTGTATTATTATCACTCCCCCGGCAGATACGACGCTATACAGTAGAGGCTGCGCGCAGAATTTGGCTAAAGGCAAATCCGCCTATCAAAGGCTCTGTTCTCACAACTTTTAGATCGATCTATCACCGCGGGGAGTCTCACTAGATTACTGTCAGATAATCCCCCTTAAGTGTCCGTCCCCGCCTACTACAAGCTTTAAGGGGTAATTAACTTTCGTGTCCGCCCGGCTGACAGCTATTTAGCGTGAACCCCCAGGGAGTTAGGTCGATCCAATGTAGGTCGATCTAATCTATGAGAATGGGGTGAAAGTTCCACCCACGGGAATATGCATGCCAGTCTCGCTGTAGACGGTAACTATGACGACAAGGCCAATCACATGACTTGTGCCCATACTCTTCGTGGTCAAGGACAGTGGTGGCTGTCAGACTTAGAAACTACGGCGAGGGTGGCCGGTGTTATTATAACAAACCGTGGCGATTGCTGTCGTAAGTCCTTTGGTTCAATATATATATATATTAGAAGTATCATAATCGTAATTTGCGTTTTTTAATGTCGTACATGTAGATCTCAGCTGTGTCCTCCAGTTATTAAGTAAGTTCGATCCGATTAAAATTATACATGAGGAAAGTAGACTAAGTGTCGGGTAACGTGTACGACATGTATTTCTTGTAATAATAGTGGAATATTTTCTGCACGTATCCTCGTATCTGTAGCTACCTCCCACGTACGATTTTTATAATTGATGTCTTTATTAATTCACCGCTACCTGTGCATGTGTAATATCAAATGTAACAATTATCAAATTTTTGTATTTTCAGCTGACCGTCTGAATAATTTCGAAGTGAGAGTTGGAACCTCTTACGAGGATAGTTCATCATTCACCCAGTACAAACTCTGCGCCAGTTACCCGGGGGTGGCACCTGTGGGGAACACGTCTATGTCCTGTGGGTCACCACTGAGAGGACGATATGTCTTGATCATTAAAGTTGGTAGTGACGATGATCCATTGCAGCTATGTGTAGTGGAGGTACATGGTGAGTTTAAAGTTTCTCAAAATCGCTATTACAGGCAGACCTTAAGCTACTATATACCACATTTCGTACATACATACCGTATATTACTGTTAGTTTTGAAGGGCGTGAATAAAATATCTGTAAATCCTACATATTTGATAATTAATTCAACGTTAAAATAACCGGTCAATCAGGTACTAGCACGTCTAAAGTGGTTTAAAGTCCCGTTGGTAATTAATTATTTTTATTTTGTATAGGTATTACAAGTTCAACCAAGTTTCGTCGGGTACATGTAGCAGCAGATGCGCGCGCAACCCTTGTGCCCATATCCACGCTGAATATCGGTAGCAGCAGCGAATGCTGTCTATCATGTATGAATCACTGGAAGTGTGCTGCCATAAACGTTCTCTGTGCTGGAAATAACCAGTGTGTCTGTGAACTTCTGCCCAGTACTGCCCAGTCCGTCGACTTGCAGGCAGAGACTGGATATGAATATTGGATATGCTTGGGGACAGTGTAGGACGAGTTCCTAGTACAACTTTTCGTTGCGATTAATGAGACGGGCGTTAACGTTAACGTTTCGTCACACCTTTTTTCATTTATGGGCTTCAAGGTCCAGGAAGAAGAGTACACCCTATGGAACGCATTTACCTGTATGTATTTGATGCCTCATTCTCACCACCTTCATATGATAATTATTTTCTTATATGTCAATATTTTATCATTAGATAAAATGCATTCCTAATTAAATGTTCCATGGTACAGAATCTATACCCGTCGGTTTCTGTTCAGTTAAATAAGGCAGCAAAACACACTATATGAGTGCGAAGAGACTTAAATTCAAAGTATTAAAAGCAACAAGGACACAAGAAAAAAAAAGAACAGGACACGTTACAAACATAGCGAAATTAAGGTAATCTAATGCCAAGCACCGCTTCCATTTAATTACTACAGGTATTTAGTAAGGTATATACTACCTGTACATATGTAGTCTCCTACGAAAATAACGTGTTGATGTATATAATCCATCAGTCAAGATTTTTTTTAACGATTTATGACTCAAGACAAAATCATCAGTACAATTTGAAAACGTGTCATAAAAAGCTGAAAAACTATGAGAAAGGTCGCACGATTAAAATACCACTCATTTGTGGGATTAACTTTATGATACATGAACCTGAGACGAAAATCAATACTCGAGGAACCAAGTTTATAAACAACATCACCCATATTTATTGACCGTGATAGCTCACCTGAGACAGGGAACAGGTCGTTTGCATAAAAGATGGAAATGTGTGGAGTCAAAAATACATAAACACATACATTATAATTGACATTCTGCATCGAAAGGACGAAAAGACGTTACAATAAAATGATGGGATGAAATTTTGATAAGGTGCAATTTCATGCAGCATACACTTAGAAAACACCCAGTTATATTTGACTATCCATCATTTAGGCAAATAATGAATGTCATTTATATTAGCGCGCTCTAGAACATTCAATCATCAGTTGAACTTCTTTTTCTTTGCAATCACTCCACTCTTATCAGTTCACCATCCGAGACAACAACAGGATATTTTCTTGATTTGCCTGCCATCGGCAGTTGCTGAGATAACTAGGTGTGTGACTATAGTATGGTGATCCTAAGGCTCCTTTTTGTCGGAGTAACTGCGATATTTTGGGGTAAGTTTAGAAGAATAGGCAATTAGCAAAAAGTAGTTTTATTACTGATATGTCATAAAGATGAAAACATATTTTGACAATAATGTGGTATAAAGTATCGAACAATATCATAACATTATTCATCCTTGTGGTTAGATGTTGTTTCTAATTTTCAAAATTGCTGTATAAATGCCATTTCAATCCAATTACGGACGAAAAGTATATTTAATATTTATTTTTGTATTTAGTTAATACTTGCACATAATAATAATAATAATAATAATAATAATAATAATAATAACCTCTGCATGTTGTTGTTATCTCTCCCCGGCAGATGTGACACCATGCAGAGGTTGCACGCAGAATTTGGCCAAAGGAAAAGCGGCGTACCAAAGTTCTACGTATATCCATCATTTGGGGCCTAGGCTAGTTGCCGGTCTTGCTGTGGATGGTAACTATACCGACATCATGCGCCATATGAGTTGTGCCCATACTTATTTTGGTCAACGTCAATGGTGGCTGGTAGACTTACAAAGCGCGGAGGGAGTGGCTGGTGTAACTATAACAAACCGTGGCGACTGTTGTTGTAAGTTTTTGGTTCTTTATATAATTTGTACTTAGTTCTTATTTAATAAGGATAAATGTATGTCGGTATTGTTGTTTTTTTTATTGCGCTAAGTATTGGATTGTTTTGTTCGATCCGCTTAAGATTATATATCTGCAACTAAGACGACATATTTTTTAAACATACATGTATTTCTTCAAATAATTGTGACATTAAACATATCCCCGTGACTACCTACACCGTGCTTTTCTAACTGAGCAATTGTTTAATATACCGCTACGTGACATCCAAGTACAATATAATAAAACTGTAATCTCAAAATTTACAGTTTGCTACTTTTATTTTCAGCTGATCGTTTGAATAATTTCGAAGTAAGAGTTGGAACCTCTTTCGTGGATAGTTCATCATTTACCCAATACAAATTGTGCGCCAGTTACCCGGGGGTGGCACCTGTGGGGAACACGTCTCTGTCCTGTGAGTCACCACTGAGAGGACGATATGTCTTGATCATTAAAGTTGGTAGTGACACTCATCCATTGCAGCTTTGTGAAGTGGAAGTTCATGGTGAGTTTATAGTTTCACAAAATCGCTTTTGCAGGGAGACCTCAAGCTGCGATATGCCACATTGCGTGCATGAATATTTTATTATTTTTTTTTCTTTAAATCTTACCAGTACACATTTTATGTTTATTTCAACGTTGAAATAACTGGTCGATCAGGTACTAGCTCGTCTTTGTTATAGTTTTTAAGTCCTGTAGGTAATTGATGTATTTGTTTAGGTATTACAAGTTCAACTACATTCACACGGGTGGCGGCAAATGCCCACGCAATCATTGTGCCCATATCCACGCTGAATGTCGGTAGCCGCAACGAGTGCATCATCTCCTGTTTGAATCACTAGAAGTGTGTGGCCATAAACGTTTTCTGTGCCAGAAATAACCGATGTGTCTGTGAACTTCTGCCCTGTGCTGCTCAGTCCGGTGACTTGAGGGCAGAGACAGGATATCAATATTATGAAGACAACTGCTTGGGAACAGTGTAGGGCGAGTTTCTAGTACACTAGAGAACTGTTTGCTGTGATTGATGAGAAGGGCGATAAAACGGAGTTGTTAGCTGTTTAGATAAGGCAGGTCTTTTAGAAAACGATATTATAGTTTTCTATTTAGAAAATTCACCCTTATATATTTTAACGCGAATCTTTTACATAAAGAAGGAACAACAATCGAAGAGAACTGATCTCCTTTAAATATTTGACAAAATGAAGACTATATTGCTTCTGTAATATTGCTTCTGTAATAAATGGATATTGCTTTATTTATTTATTTTTATTTTAAGCTAGGCTAAACTTTGTCTGATCCAGCACTGAATCAGTTCTCCTACCCTTAGTACGAAGGGATTTCTGTTGAGTACACACGTTTCGTAAATAGATGTGCTGTCTACAAACCTGAGACAGCCAGCCCGTTTTGGATGGTTTATTAATGCTATACAATCAGTACGATTTCCATTATGGAGGCGATTAAAGTGTTATGTATGTATTGGTAATTTACGGTTTACTGATGCCATTATTCATTTTTTTTTTTTTTTTTTTTGCAAAATCAAGTAGTTCTTTTTATACCTTGGAGTCCAACCCTATGTGATTTTTGGCGTAGAAGTGCAGTAGGCTATACTGCATCTCTACTATAAACATGATCCACACCACTGCTAAACTAATGTTGCTGCACTAATGTTATTATGCTACCTCGAAACTACTGCATTTTCGTGCGGGTTAAATTACCAAAAAAAAAAAAAAAAAAAAAAAAAGTAAAAATTTCATGGTTGGAGACGAACCATTTTCAGATTAATTGAACCGTTACATTGACGGCACGCGAGTCTACATGTTAAACATTCAACGCAAAATTCAAAACAGATACAGTTGTACTTGCAGATCATCGTTACACCACACGCTGCTAAACATTCGCTGACAATTAATGGGCAAAAAAAGACGAGGAGCCAATCTTTTCCGATAGATGTAAATCTCACCTTCACATGACAACGGGAGTTTTATTGCTCGTGATCTAATTTCACGTGGGAGAACGATCTGGATCAGTTGAATGATACAAATATTCATCTTTAAAGTAGTCTTTGAGTTCCTTCGGAACACTCTCCCTTTCTGCTAATGGAACCATTTAGAATAAAACATTTCGCATCCCCCAAGCCCTCTTATAAATCATTTTATTTCTTAAATACATATTCAGTGAGATTGGAATATCCAGGGAGTATCCAAGGCGCTGTTTACATCTACCAGTCATTTTTCAAGTCAGATTTATCTGTAATAGAGTCCACAAGGAGACGTAGTGAAGATTAAGGGTTTTTTATGATATAAAGGGAAGTAAAATATGTGTTAGGCGTTAAGTCCCTACAATTGCTGTATGAACGCTATGCAGCAAATTGTAGCACATTGCTTGTAGTGCATTGCTAGCCCCTTTCCAATCATTACTATATTCTGCCCAAGTATTTCTTGGCAATTGTTTTTAGATCACGAAAGACATAAGGAGTTCAAACTTCACTGTGGAAACTTTTTTTCCTAAATGTATAGGCCCTACATGCAACTGCATACAATCCATTTCCAAGTCGTTATTCATTCTTGCTCCTTTCAGTCATCTTGTCCAATTGTCTCATATTCATCTTGTATGCATATCTGTTATCCAGACCTTTCTTTTTTTTATCATTCTTGATATTCGGTTTGCATTCCAAAATGTCTTCAAGTGTGTGGGAAAGTCATTTGCTGCAAACGGTTAATGGGGCTTTGGAAAAATGAAAAAAAAAAAAAAAAAAAAAAAAAAGCCTTCATTGTGAACAAATTGATGGTAATTTTAAGCTCCAAAGTCCTGTTTCGAGCAGCACGTGTCCTCTATACACCTCCCAGGATATAAAACCAGTCCTGAAACCAGGCACCCTTTGACGCTGTTACGAGTTAAAGCTATGAAACGAATAAATTGTTTGAAAACGTAACATTGTCTCCCCACCCCCGCGTCTGGTCTCAGATTGTGTTAGTGATGCTTGATGATCCACGGTTGTGCTCCAGAAGAGGAGGGTGCAAATATTGGTTGACAGGTATTCCAGGATGAACAAGGTTAAATGTGTAAATAGAGACAAAGGCAGATACGTAAATGTACCCACGCATCTGTACCATGACCTCTTAGTGATGCATCCGCAGAATTAAGACCGTGTGTGTGTGTGTGTGTGTGTGTGTTGGGGGGGGGGGGGGCAGCTCCGTCTATATATGTTTACTACCGGTGTATTGATTATAATGTGAACAGTTAATTCGCTACCTAAAGGGATGTTACGCTCCACGAGTGTCCACAAGGTGTGTTCAAATGAACATGTAATGTCAACTCGATACAGTCATATTAAATATATTCCCACTTGTATTTGCTAATTGGAACAAATTCAAGATTTTGTGGAAAATCAAGCAGAGAGATATTACATTAAAGATCACTTTTAGTTTTATTCGACATATTTTCTGACAGATGAAATAAATACAAAAACGGAGCAACATTCAGATTAAGTTTTTTTTTGGCCGAAAATAAAATTAAACAATACCTGTATATGCCATTTGTACCAGACTACTAGCGCACCATGTTGTCAGTGAGTAAACTACTTTACACTGTACCATTTCACCTTCCACACCCTCCCCGCGCCCATGCTTCATTAAACTTTCTGTTATTAACTCCCGATCTTTAAATTACCAAGGTATCCTATGTTATGTCAGGTCCAAAATGAATCCTATGTCAGTAATTCTAATGTACATGGAGGGGTTCACCCCTGATATGTTTAGTAGAGATGTCATTTTGTTCACGAGAATACGATGACCTTGAACGCACGATGACCTTATTGAGGTCAAGCCATAGATAGGCTATTGTGTATTACAAAACACGCATATTTGCCTTTTTTTTTAGTGAGAAAGGAGGTCACTAAGTCCTTTAAAACAATTATTATTGAGATATCCCACTCAATTTTTATCAACAGAAAAAAAACTTGTTTCACCAGAAGCATTTTCCTTTTAAGTGACTGAAAAATTTTCCCTTAAAAAAAAAAAAACTCAGCTGACTTGAGTCATGTGACCCTTTTGTGATATTTTCTGGTCCCTTCCATGCTGGGTCTGAATCATAGGCAGTGTTTACACGTTCACTGGCTGGCAAACATTGCTGAATATTCGTTTATGCCAAAGACTGTGTATACGGTATCATCATCATCTTAACATTATCATATAGATATAGAAATATACAGACATAGTTCAACTCTTATCCAAGATTGCGTCGTTAAAAAGAAGAAGCAAGCAGCTCGACACAAGTATATTTCGATTAAAGTCAACTTACGGTAAGTTCAAAAATGTTACCCCAGTATATGTTTATGACACAGTCTAGCTATTATCATACCAAATGGTTTCCATACGCTTCTAGATGTGCTCTAGTGTTGGTTGGTTCCCCTAGATTTGAAAACATATTCCTTGGGAAAATAATATTTCCTTCTTTCACTTTAATTTTATTACCATTGCCCCATGTTGCTATCTAAGCGTCCTGTCAAATGTCAAGTTAAAAAGTTGGAATTCTCCTGTTTGTGTATTTACTACACAGAGTGAATTTTCGTAAGGACAGTATTTAATATGTTTAATTAGTACAAAATACGAAAAAGGTCACATATTCCTTGGATAAAATGCACTTCTTTCTTTCACTTTAATTCTATAAGCAAATTGTTGCGCCATTTTGTTATCTATTGAAGAATGTCGATGTCAAATGTTCATATACTGGTATTCGTTAGTTTGTTTAACGACGTAGTTTCTACAACACAGCATAAGGTAGCAAAACTGGACTTATTCTCGTAAGGCAGTGTTTATCGGTTTACTTGCTACCAAAATACTAAAAGGGTCACATATTTCTTGGGTAGAATACGCTTTCTTCTTAAACTTAATTCTATAAGCAAATAGTTGTGTTATGTACTGAAGAATGACGAGGTCAAAAGGTTCAAATAATAGTGTCCTCTTGTCTACGTAGTATTTACAGAACGGCGTTCAGACAGCAAAAATGATCTTATTCTCGTAGGGACATTTTTTTTAAATCTGCTAAGTAAGAACCAAAATATCAAGAAGGTCACAGATTGCGACCCTAGTCTATAATGTGAGACGCGAAGAGTTTTATTAAATAGTATAAAAGTCACAAGACTATCATTTCCAGAAAACAACTGATAGTTTGTGATTTGTCGAAAGGACCGCAGTGTTTTTTCTGGAAAATGCAACATACGTGTTATTTTAGGAATCAGTGATTGGAAACCAATACTACCACAAGCTTGTGCACGCATGACTGATCTTATAACCAGGTGAGCGCACGAGCGAAAAAGATTTGAGAAGAAATGCGAACAAAAGACCAACGCAATCAAAACTAAACGCTCCAATAACGCATTCAGCAATGCTCCCCTCTATACATGTTAACAGACAAATAATACAAAAGGCTGGACATACCACTGGTGCATTCAACAATGCTTCAATCCCCCACAAATACATGTGTATGAAGAAGCTCAAATAAAAATTATAAAAATGATAGGTATTTTGCCGCCGGCGCCAGGTAGTGCCTTCCACAAAATTGTCACAAAAAGCTTTTTTTTTCAATCATACGCACTCTGTGATGCAGCTTTATGACAGTGGTTTAGATAAAATGTCGAATCATAGAAGAAAAAAGTCACGAGTTAAATCTGTGAATTATTTCTGAAAAGGAAATGTTAAAGTCTGAGAGACATGCACGAACACAAACAAAAATTACGGGCATACACATTTCTGATTGAACAAAGACAAATTATGGGATCAAATTTAAGGTTTATTAGTTTCAAAAGGAACGATGTCACAGACTAGCACTAGCACTGCAATGCAATGGCGTATATAGTAGGCCCCTACCACAAATATATATGACTCGTAATAGCAGAATGCACCAATTTGTAAATTTATTAGCAGTACTTAGTGAATAGTGCGGCAATGTATGTCGTAGTATCGGGTAATGTTGTCTTTGGCTCACGCCCTTATGACTGGATATGCAGTTTTTTTATCAAATATTTTTTCTGCGTTTTCTACTTTTATTACCCCTGTGTTGTATATCTTGCATTATTTTTTTGCCTTTGGGTAGGATAAATGACCCTGTAGTCAGTAAATGTTGTTTGTTCCATAAATATATAGGCCTACATGTAGTGTATTCGAAAGACAGATGTAGCATATGTGATTTTGGAACAAATATGTGGAAATCACATCATATACAGGTACAATCAACTATGCTATAATACCCATTAATAATCATTTTTTATTATTAAAGAGTATAAAACCAATTAATACCACAAAAACATAAACATTTATTTCCCAAAGCACACACTTTCAACCTTAAACATTGCATAATAATACCGTGTACCATGCATACAAGAAAGCACTATAATTATTTAATAGTACAATGTGTACCTATATAGATGAAATACTTACAGTTTTGTTAAAAACAATTATGCCTTTAAAATACTGACAGTAGTTGTTTCCTTAAGTATTTATCTTACCTTTAATATTATAACGATGATTTTAAAATGTATTGATGAACCCTCAAACGTCTTTATGGACTTTTTGCAGACCTCAGAAATGGCCAGTGTAGAGATTTCACGAAAGGAGAAAGAAAACCAATTTCGCATGCAACTGTTACTGGATCATGGGAATCTAGTACTTCGAGATGTTCTCAGTAACCAGTTACAGTCAAAATACGCGGGGTTGTTTGGACCATCAAGTAGTGGCGACATATCTGGTGTCCTAAATGACCAAACAGTGAAACGTTCCTTACTCAGACTTAAAAGAAGAAACATTTTGAACCCTAGTCAAATGAACATTCTCTACCCTCCTGGGAGCCCCGCCCCTCCTGTGACACTGCAGAGCTTAGATATTACCCTGACCGTAGTTTTATTAAGAAATATCACAAACCTGAATTCTAATGCAAGTTGGGTCAATCCTCGAGCAACGGACAAATCGACTGAGGCTAACATCGCCAGGGTGAAGGGGTACCGCAATAAAAACGCTCATGCAACGGAGGGTCTCTCAGACGCAGACTTCCAGAAGCAGTTCAGTAGTCTCAAAGTTATTCTGCTGTCCCTGTCTGCATTATACACTAGAGGTGACTACGACAACTTGCTGATTCAGCCATTGGATTCTTCAGGTAGATTGTTGCGCCTAAGGAATAATATCTAACATTTTTATACAATAAAAATTAAATAAACACAAACAAACGTGTTCTGTCGCACAAACGAGCCAATAAACTTTCACACACAGGTGCCCATTCGTTTGCAACTAATAAATAAAGATAAAAACCATGAAGATAAAGAAATATAATTGTTGGAATGATGAAATCATTTTTAATATTCTCGTCTTATAAAACTTAAATAAAATCTGTTCTTTCAGAAACCCCTTGTCAGCTGCTCTCTACGGCGTTACCAAGAATAAACACAGATCTGAAGGGACGCGATGACATTGTTTACACAATACAGCAGCACATCAGCGATAAAGTTCCACTGATTCTCCTGACCGGAATGGGGGGTATTGGTAAGACTAGTATAGCAGTTAAGGTCGGGCAAAACATGCTTAATGTGCTGCACATTGATATGAGGCAAGTTACAGATCTTAACTCTGTCAAGTTATCAATTGCCCAACACTATCACCAAACGCGCCCTTTGAAAGATTTATACTCTGATTATCAAAATATTTTTAAGCAGATTTATCGAGTTTAAAGTCAGATACACTCCTCATTCTCGATAATAACGACTTTGTTCTCAGTTTAAACAGGACCGACTTTTGTGAATTTTTGAAGGATGTAATGGATTCAACCATTAATATCACCTTGTTATGTACTAGCCGTGAAAGGTTTGATTTCACAACACATAACATAGTTGTGTTAGACATTCCCCCGCTTGATAAAACCGCTTCATTTCAAGTCCTGTGGGAAAGAAAATCAACGAATCCCACAGACGGCGAGTTGATGGATTTAGATAAAATGGCAGAAAAATGTGGCTACAACCCCCTAGCTATGAAATTGCTAGCTGCCTTACTTAACACAAAAACAACAAAGGCAGTATTAAAAGATATAAACACTCAAAATATACCATCTCTTTACATTCCCAGCATGTCAAAAGAAATCACAACTTGTTTTGATATATCTTATGAAACATTAGATGAGGAAGTGGGAAAGGTGTTTCTTTCACTGCACATATTCCCCGCTGCCTTTAATCTGAAAGACGTCTGTGCCATTTTAGGAATAGACCAAAAGGATTGTGAACAAATCTTAGACAGCCTTGCTAATAAATCGCTCATTTGTTCATTTGATAACATCTATGATATCCATCCTTTACTAAGGGAATATGCAGAACACAAAGCCCGTGAATGTGGTATTGATATTTTTAAAATCGAAGGTGCCTATTGCAGCTATTATGTAAAAAATCTCAAAAAGACTGAAATGAAATAAGTCGGTGCATCAAATGCAAATCTATTATCCGAAATGTTACCACATTTCAAGCATACTGCTGCTTTACTGACCAAACATTTAGAAACCCAAGAAGAGTATGTAAAACATAAAACTTTAAACAATTTATTATTAATAGGGATGTCGTTCAATACCATTTGTCTCTATAAGGATGCACTAAAAATTCACAAATCAGTGTCACATGAAAAGGGAGAACTGTTAGGTCAAAAACATCCTGATACTGCAATGACATACGAATGTATTGGTAATGTACTGCGGGACATGGGTGAGTATAAAGAGGCACTTGATTATCACAATAAATGTCTTTTAGTGAGAGAGGATATACTTGGTCAGAAGCAGCCTGAAACTGCCGGCTCCTACAACAATATTGGTAGTGTGCTGCATGACATGGGTAAGTATAAAGCAGCGCTTGAATATCACAAGAAATGTCTAGCGGTGAGAGAGGAGATACTTGGTCAGAAGCACCCTGATACTGCCAGCTCCTACAACAATATTGGTATTGTACTGCATGCCATGGGTGAGTATAAAGAGGCACTTGATTATCACAATAAATGTCTTTTAGTGAGAGAGGATATACTTGGTCAGAAGCAGCCTGAAACTGCCGGCTCCTACAACAATATTGGTAGTGTGCTGCATGACATGGGTAAGTATGAAGCAGCGCTTTTTTTTTTAAAACAGATTTATTTCTACAATCAAGATATACAAAAAAAAATACATTCAGAGCAGGCGGCACGTCGCCACAGCATTATGGGCTCGCTTGCGTTAATGTGATTCTAGTAACAAAATGACTTAAATATGATTATATATAGGTAATGATTATAGTTATGATAACACTAAATAGTACTTATTGTTGTAAAGGAGAGCAACAGGGAAGGGCACTACAGGGAAAGGCACNAGTAGATTGAGATGGCACGGTGAAAAGAAAAGGCAAGGTTTGGGATGGCTTCGGAATTAAATACGGCTGTAAGCAGCGCTTGAATATCACAAGAAATGTCTAGCGGTGAGAGAGGATATACTTGGTCAGAAGCACCCTGATACTGCCAGCTCCTACAACAATATTGGTACTGTACTGTATGCCATGGGTAAGTATAAAGAGGCACTTGAAAATTTCAAGAAATGTTTTGCGGTGACAGAGGAGTTACGTGGTCAGAAGCATCCTGATACTGCCAGCTTATACAAAAAAATTGGTGTTGTACTGCGTACAATGGGTGGGTATAAAGAGGCCTTTTCATAGCACAGTGTTTGCCTATGTAAAGGAGACGATATTATTCATGAATTATGATCAACCGTGTTCGTATTATAAATGGAATGTTTGAAAATAATCCATTTCAAGTGTTCAATATACACTTTTTATTATCTCAACAAAAATTGTTTTAACTGTCACCGGGGTTGTAGTGTGTAGAGCCAGTTTATCATGTATTAGGTGAATTTATGTGTTAGTTTTTATAACAATTTCGTTTAGTGCGTTTTAAGCAAGATTTTATAGCAGTTCTTCCAAGGTCCTGTAATTTAAAGTAATTGTGGGTATTGTCTTAGCTTTGTTACAATCTGTACTGTAGATATCTTGATTTTGAAAAGTCAGTTTATTAATTATGACATGTATTTTTATCATCTGGATGAGGTGTCTAATATTGGTACTGTATCTGAACTAAAAAATGTATAATGAATGTTGTGTAGTCAATCAAGCATTATGAGACTACTAGTAGCTGGACCAATTTTACAGTTGATTTTTAAAGGCTATTTTAGTACTAAGATTATTTACAATAGTGTTTCATATTTTTTGTGATTTACCTGGGCAATTATCTCCATGTTCCTAGATTGAGTTGTAGTTCTTATTTATTACAATATAGTGAATCACTATTTTTGAGTAATATGTAATATTTGATATATACATGCATACTATATAAAATGCATCTGTGAAAGTTTGTCAAAAATCATTTGGTTTTACTACTTATATGTGGGAAAGGTGTTTAAAGTTGTAAAATGTGATAATAAAATATGCATTCTTATGAATGTAATTCAATTTTCTTACCAAACTACGGTAATAGTGATCACCTACCAATAACGAACAAATTTAAATTCTGTTCAGCTTATTTCAAACAAAGGGTTTCGTATTCATTGTATCATAAAAATGATGTGTTTAATTGTCTCTCTGGTACATAAGTTGTATTAATTATCTTTTGAAAACAAACTGGGGTGGGAGAGGGGTACCAGTATATCATGAAGGCTATTTTGCAGAGCAAAAGAAATTTGAAACGAAATTCACAGGATATGAATTCTGGTGTGATGTTTTGAAAGGCGAATATTGCTTTGACATTTAACAAAGTCGCTTCATCAATCACGATACTGAATTCTATTTACAGCGTGTTTTATGCTAGTATGGCCCACCGTGTCTTAAAAAGCAAGTACATGTATTTTCACTGGAAATATAGTTGATTAACGAATAAATAAATTACAACAAAGAGTTCATAGGGCTAAAAATAATGAAAAACCGAAAAAGAAAAAATCTTGCATTTTAAGCTCCAAATTTCTTTATCGTACAACATGTGTCCTCTATACACCTTTCACAATGTACATGTAGACAATGCCCTGAAATCACGTGACCCATGACGCTAATATTACGGGCTAACAAAAGGAAAAGCTACAAAACGAACAAATTGTTTGAAAAGTTAACCTTTTTGTCTCCCCTGCCCCGTGCCTGGTCTCAGATTGTGTTAGTTGTGCTTGATGATCCACAGACGCACTCGTGGTTGTGCTCCAGGGCTCTGTTACACGAAAGCATCGCAAATTGCTACCGTACGCAAGTACAGCGATGGCACCCACCTGCTAACTCGAAGCCTTAGCAGACACAACGCAATATTCACGTGTCTGGAAGTATATAATCATAGCCTCGAGCGCTACTTAAGTTCGACTGCAGCATAACTTTAGAATACAGATTGTGAAAAGTGATTGGTAAGGGTAAAAAGGGTACAATGTATCTTTTGGGGGGGGGGGGGGGCGGAAAACGTCCCCCCTTTTGCTCGGAAAAGGTCCCGTCTGGGTAAAAATTTATCTAAGCACATGAAGGTTTCATGGTAAAAGGTCCACTTTTTCAGAAAAAGAAACCCCCTTTTGAAATTGCTGGCTTCGGGCCTGTAGATCATGATGAATACATGCACGTTTTAATAAATAATCAGCACATGGCACAGTTTTTGTCACTTGAAAGCTTTCGACTAATGACGTTCAATGAAATCACTAATCATCTGACGATTTAAAAGAAAAATGGGGAGGTTCAATGGGCAGTTTTTTATTTCAGCTAGGGGGACTTCAGGAAGAGGGTTCAGTGTAGGTGTCTCCTGCTTACAACTCCTGTTGCTTGCTTACTATCACCACGCATTCAATTACTGACTTTGCTTTTTTTTTTTCACACACATGGAGATAAACTTTCCCCATTGATTTCGTTTTTATTCACCATTGTTTGTCCGCGGTTTCTCTCTTTTTTTTTGCTGTATGCAACTGATCTATTAACTAGTAATCTAGTAATTGTACAGCACATGTAACTACACCTACACCTACACATAGCGGTTAGGAATAGGACGTTTGAAGAAAAAGCTTCTATTCAACTCGCTTAGACCTAGGGCGTGATGCTGGTATCAAGGTGATAATCTCATCCGCATACAATAAAAAAGAGAGAACCGTTCATAAAAGGTCTCTTACAATGTAAAACCTTTCTTACAAAGGGACATGCAAAAACGACGCGTGCCGCCACATGTCGAAATAAAAAGCAGGTGGATTATTATGGAAGCAATAATACAGGAAAATGCACGGATGCAGATGCGGATGGCTACGCGAAGTGTCGCGACACTTATTTGAGCTGCAGGGGTCCAAACGGGTACTCTCGCCGAGGACCGCCCTATAACTATGAAAATTTGGGGTTATAGGTATTACAGCGTGGCCGACACCGAGGCTTAGTGTCCAGGTTTCTCTGTTTTAGCTGTAGCTGGGAGGTGTTTGGTCCTCACTGCTTTATAATCCGTTATGTTAGGTATTGTTCTATGGTACCATTCAGATCTGAAAACATTTCCCAGCTTCGATCATGGTTTTGATTTTGCAAAAGGTCGTGCATCAAGAACTCGTTATACGGTGACCTTTATAAAGGCATATATATACTTTATTAGGCGCTTCTAGAATTTGCTCCTTGGAGTCACTACAATTATTTTTTTAATATGAAACTGGAAACAAACGCAAGGCGTGACAGCTTTGTGTATTGTTTGTGCTACAGTTGCAACCATCTAGCT